CCAAGACACTATTTGGACGAATGGATGGGTGAATGAATTTCGCGCCAAAATCCAAGACCTGTTATCTTAAATCTGATTAGTTCATCTATAAATTCTAGTCTTGCTGAAATCAGTTTTCATTGAATCATTGTAGAAGGTAATACCTTCTTGGTATATACATTTAGCTTAAATTGATTCAAAGAAATATCTTCAAAACGTACATTGAATAGGTACTTTATCACTTGGTAATTTGATAGTTTTTGATCCATTTGTTTCAGTATTATTTACAAAACATGTAAAATAACCATCATCATTAAATGGATCAAATTCTCCAATACGTCTCCAATCCATTTCTAATCGACGTATAGGAGGTATATCACCTTTTCGAATAATAAGTTTTTGTTCACTTGAAGTAATTGCATGCTTTAAAAAAAAAAACAATCAAACAAAGCATAATTTATTATATAAACTACTTTAAAGGTATGGTTATAGAGCTTTTTTGATAACAAACAAGACTTATGTTATAGTGAGAAGAAGTGACCAATGAAATCACAATTGATTGATCACTGGGTGGTGATCAATGTCATGCTTGTCTAGTCCTTATTTAGTGCAGATCGAATGCTATCGATCATGTTGCAATGTGACCACCAGTCTAGGTGACTCGACACTGCGGGCACTATGTATTGAGATTAGATGGTGGTTGGAGGTAGTCAACAGGAAACCGTGGACCCGGGTTTCGTGCTACTTGGCACTCGTCAGCAAGGTGTACCTGTAATCTTCAGGGAACTGGCGCTCCCTGACAGATACGATCCCGTGTCACCCAGCTTCATAATCAGAGACGTTACCATTGAGATATCCGAACCGCGACCGGTCGATAGCATTCGATCTGCACTAAAAAGGACTTGACAGACATGAGATTGATCCCCACCCAGTGATCAATCAATTGCGATTACATCTCAGTCCTAAAGGAACTTGGTTGCGGACCGGATAGCTCAGTGGTAACGTCTCTGATTATGAAGCTAGATGACACGGGATCGAATCCGTCAGGGCGCACGAGTTCCATCAAGATTACATGTACACCTTGCTGACGAGTGCCAAGCAGCACGTAACCTGAGTTCAGGGTTTCCTGTCAACTACCTACAACCACCGTCCAGTGACCAATTGAGCTCAACCTGGTCTGTTGTGAGATAGTAACTCACTGAGGACAATGGTGGACAGTGGCTCAATTTCATGGATTAGTTGAAGTTAGACATTAATACCGTTGGACTACGACTGGCTCAGTGGTCTTAAGGGGTAAGCGTTTGCGCGCGAGACCGATAAATTTTGGATTCGAATCCCTTTTGTTACGAGATCGTGGATGCTCAATGCTGAGGAGTCTTATAGTAGAACGAAACGACTGTTCAGTGCTTCTAGGTTTTCAATAGTGATCTATCTTCAATAGACTCATGATCTCAACTCTTAAAATTATTTATATTACTGCCAAATTATGAGTGATATGTACATTCAAAGGTATTTGTAAAATGCTATTCCAACAAATTACATCAGGTATTCTATTTGTCGCCTTTATTAACTTGTTTCTTTTTCAGATGTTGAAAAACGATTCATCTAGTCTGTGAATTACTTCCATTGGTGAATACAATCAAAGTGATGAATATAAGTCCGGTTTAGGATTATTAAATAACTTGATTTCAAATATCCATTCTGTTTTGCTTGTGAGATATTTCCACTGTCATATATATTTATTAATATGCAATGTTTAAAGGATTCAAAGTCATTCATCTTGAAAATAGTGGTCTTTATCGTTGTGGTGATGTCAAAATACACTTGGCATTGTTTGCTTGTATCTTCCAGTTGTTGTTTACGACTGTAATTGATCAGTCTCATGCTGGCATATGTGCATCTTGTGCAGACTGTCTTGATATTGCTTTAAATCACAAGCTTTATAAGCAAAGATAAATTGTGGCTAGCACTCGAATCCAGGACGCACGTTTCTTCCTATTCGGGACACGGAACGAGCGTCATGGATTCCACTTTGTTTATAATGTCAAAATACATTTGAATTTAACTATACGCCTGGTGTTTTTAGTCTTCTTGACATGATGAAATCAAAGAAGAGCATCTTGACAAAGTTACAGTCAATCTAAATAGCTAATGTCCTATAGTCATTTGAATATAATGTATCTTGGTATCTTCCAATTTACATCAACACTTTCAGTTATATATCTGTCGACTCTCAATAAAGTAGTGAATATACTAAATTCTGTCTGAGTCTGAAACATAACCAGTACTGACTCATTTTTGTGCTGGCTACTTGAATATTCCCATTGACTTATATGACTGAAAATGATCAGTCTTGTATTGCCATGTGTGCATCCTGTGCGGATCGCCTCAATATTGTCTTAAGTCACAAACAACATAAGCAGGGATGCATAGTGGCTAGCAATGGGATTAAGGACGCGCTCCACTTCGCCCTAACTGTGACTCTTTATTTAGATGAAATTACATCATACAGATAACGATCACTCCGAGACTCGAACCCGATACCTTTCGCTTCAAATATCCTTGTGTTAACCACTTAGCTACTGAGTTCAGATAGCCTTTGCTCCATGTTATCTTTTAGAATAAAAATAAAAGCTACACAACCCAAACTTCTCAGATCAAAGATAACAACAACTCCAGCATTGTGAGATATCATATGTCACACTTCATACATTTTCCAGGTGAAAACAGAGTTTATGGAGGATATTGTGTTGATCATATATATGTGGATAGATAGATAGATAGATAGATAGATAGATAGATAGATAGATAGATAGATAGATAGATAGATAGATAGATAGATAGATAGATAGATAGATAGATAGATAGATAGATAGATAGATAGATAGATAGATAGATAGATAGATAGATAGATAGATAGATAGATAGATAGATAGATAGATAGATAGATAGATAGATAGATAGATAGATAGATAGATAGATAGATAGATAGATAGATAGATAGATAGATAGATAGATAGATAGATAGATAGATAGATAGATAGATAGATAGATAGATAGATAGATAGATAGATAGATAGATAGATAGATAGATAGATAGATAGATAGATAGATAGATAGATAGATAGATAGATAGATAGATAGATAGATAGATAGATAGATAGATAGATAGATAGATAGATAGATAGATAGATAGATAGATAGATAGATAGATAGATAGATAGATAGATAGATAGATAGATAGATAGATAGATAGATAGATAGATAGATAGATAGATAGATAGATAGATAGATAGCTAATTCAAAACGTAATCATCTGAAAAAGGAACTTGGTATCTTACAGATATCATTTCTTGACTCATTGATGATGAACTAAGGTTCACTGATGAATCATATTCCGGATTCAAATCCATACAAACCAATCTTGTTGGAAATGTTGAGTCTGGATTATCATAAATTGGTTTAAGAATAATTCTTGGATCCGGTGATGCTAAATTCCGTGAACGAAAAAAATAAACAATAAATTTAAAAAATCAATAATTATGACATTTTTGGTGACATTAAAGCTAAATATTACATCAAAATGTTTTTCATATGGAGTCATTACGGAGGTTACTTAGAAACAAACTCTCATTAGATGTACAAAGTTGTAACTTTGGTATATGAATGCGATACATCAACGTAAATAACTCCTGTTTTTAAGTAGGTCAAAATTTATAATGAGGTCTGTTGATACTGAAAGGAGCTAGTCCGTATCGGGTAGAGACAGGTATTTACCTCAGTACGACATGGAAGATGGTCGCGCAATTTCGTGGATTGGTCGATGCTAGACACTAACACCATTGGATGCCGGCTCAGTGGTTCAGTAGATTCATTGGGTGTGGGATCGTGGATGCGCACTACTGAGGAGTCCCACAATAGAACGAAACCGCCATTCAATGCTTCCAGGTTTCCAACGGTGGTCTAACATCAATCAGTTCATCATCTCAATCAGATAGTGAAAGGATAATACATAATCAGAACAAATGAAAGAATTGAACTTATTTTGTCTGCTGTCCATTCCATTAACTGATCCATTGTATAAACAGTAGCTAACTGAGTACGATTGAGTTAAAGTTAGCAATTTGAGTTCTGAGAAACTTCAACAAAACCTATGAAAATCAACGCGTTGAATCTAATTTTAGTCAATTTACATCATCTTTGATATGGAGTCATTCAGATCCGCTTATATAGTCTATGTTCGTGTATTCACTTAACAAGCAGTATACATTCATTAGTAATGAGGGTTTTAACAGTTTAATGAAGACTGGAAATGTTTGGTTATCTTTAGTTTTAGTACATCAGAAGTCAGATACTTTAGCAAGTTATATCCTGAAATCCAACATTAAGTGTAGTAATGTTATGCTAGTGAATATACTGTGATCATCCGTGATGATTGACCAGATATCCGGCATTAGAATGATCTTCATCAACAGTTTTGGATCCAATAATATAATCATTAACCAAATCGTATTACACCGATAAACTTAACCAATCAAGTTTAAGTTAATGAAAGATTTTGGTCACTTTTATGCGCTTACTCAACCATAGTGTTATACATTCATTCATTACTGTAAGTCGAGTATTAGCTGATATTGAGATGGTGGAGAGGTGCACAGAACAAGCTGTGAAACACATAAGGAGAAAATCGAACACTTCACTTCTATCTGAAGTTTGTGCTGATGATGTCGTTCAGAAGAACGATGAAAGCTCCACGACCAAACCATCCAGCTCAGAGAACAAAACTCCATCAAAATTAGCTGATATATTGTTCAGTTAACAGTTATATAATCTATCCTTGTGGATCAGGGTAATTTTACATTGGTTTTCAGGAGAACCAGACACCATCCGGACGTTCACATAAAAACCCAAACAGTACAGCTCAACTCCGTTTAGCAGGGGAACCACACACCGTACAGGCTTTAACGCTACAATCTGAATAGTACAGCTCAATTCTGCGGCGCAACCACACAGGTACCAACCGCCCTGGTGGACCAATTATTCAGTTAAGGAAACCAATAAATAATAATGTGAATTGTAGATAATGAGTCAATGAAACTCCTATTATCTATTACCAATTACATAATCATACTACGTTTCTGAATGTAGAAAAATGGTGCCTCTATTTATGCCAAAAATATTTAGCACAGTTACTATGGTAGGAAGAATTTTGAAACTTTTGTTTATTTAACAAAAGCATTCTAAGATGAATTTAAATGAATAATTCCACGTAAATAGCGATGACACTGGTTGAAGTTAAAAATTTCTTTCCTGGTATGATTCTAACCAAGATAACTACTTTGAAAATCATGGAAGTATACTCTTAATGAATACTTAGATGTAGTAAAGAATAAGTTGAGTATTTTGATGAAGTTTTGTTCTCTGAGCTGGATGGTTTGGTTGTGGAGCTTTTATCGTTCTTCTGAACGACATCATCAGCACAAACTTCAGATAGAAGTGAAATGTTCGAATTTCTCAGCATGTGGTTCACAGCTTGTTCTGTACATCTCGATGTTGATTGGTTCTTAAGCACCACCTGAGGTACAAATCTTCTCCACCATCTCAATTAGTGGAGTACTTTTTTATGTTTACTTATCATATAGTAAATATCAACTTTGAAAGTATACAGAACTATAGGGAAACTACCGCTATCCATAAAAGTCAGTGAATACTTACTTACTTACGCCTGTTACTCCCAATGGAGCATAGGCCGTAGGCCAGCATTCTCCAACCCACTCTGTCCTGGGCCTTCTTTTCTAGGTCCATCCAATTCTTGTTCATTTTTCTCATGTCTATTTTCATTTCTCGGCGTAATGTGTTCTTTGGTCTTTTACTCATCCTTTGGCGCTGAAAGTTCTATGTGATGGCTTGCCCTGTGACACAGTTCGGTGCTTTCCTCAATATGTGTCCTATCCACTTCCAGCACTTCTTCCTGATTTCTTCCTCCATTGGAATCTGCTTTGTTCTCTCCCATGGTAGGTTGTCTGGTCAACAGATCCCAAATATTTTACGTAGACAGCTGTGAATAAACACTTGTATCTACTGGATGATGGCTTTCGTAGTTCTTCAAGTTTCCATCCCATACAGTAGAATTGTTTTGACATTTGTATTGAAAATTCTGACTTTGGTGTTGGCTGATAGATAGTTGTTTTGAGTTCCATATGTTCTTTAGTTGTAAATATGTTTCTCTTGCTTTGCCGATCCGAGCCCTCATATCTGCATCAGATCCACTGTGTTCATCAATGATGCTACTCAAATATGTAAAGGTTTTTACATCTTCCAAATCTTCTCCGTCAATTGTAATTGGATTGGTGCATTCTATGTTGTATCGGAGAATCCTGCTTTTCCCTTTGTGTAGATTGAGACCTATTGCTGCTGAGGCTGCTGCCACACTGCTCGTCTTCTCATGCATCTGTTGTTGCGTTTGAGATAGAAGGGCCAGATCATCTGCGAAGTCTAGATCATCCAACTGCATCTTAGATGTCCATTGTATCAGTTATAACAGTCAAGATCGTACTTCTAGAGATCAGTTATATAGTATGCAACATCAGGATGTAAATTAAACTTCATCATGGATAACCAAACGCGATAATGATCAATTCGGCTTAACCCTGTTCTATTTAAGGCATTATACATCATCTTTGTTCCTAATTTGTTATAGTCATTTACTTTATATCATCTTTATAACGTGCTTATGTTCTTCAAATGTCTAAATAAATTGTTAGTTATATTCTATTGTTATTGGCTAAATTATAATTTGTGAACGAACCAATCAGGTATAAGATAACAGGTCTTGGATTTTGGCGCGAAATATAGCTGATGTCAATTCGTGATGAAAACTCTAAATCGAATTCCTAACCTTAACCTCATCAACTATAAATCATAATTCTAATCCCTTTCATTGATTTTATAACCCTCATTTAGTCCTAGTTATTAGTTGAATACTTTCAAGGTCATTTTAGCGTCACTCATACTTACTTACTTACTTACGCCTGTTACTCCTCGTGAAGGAGCATAAGTCGCTCACCAGCATTCTCCATCCAACTCTGTCCTGAGCAATCCTTTCCAGCTCATTCCAGTTATTATTCATCCTTTTCATATCTGATCCTATTTCCCAGTGTAATGTGTTCTTTGGCATTCCACTTTTCTGCTTTCCTTCATAATTTCATGTTAGGGATTGCCTCGTGATGCAGTTTGATGATTCCCTCAATGTATGTCCTATTCATTTCCATCGTCTTTTCCTAATTTCCTCTTCAGATGGAAGTTGGTTTGTTCTCTCTCACAGAAGGCTGTTGCTGATTGTATCCGGCCAATGGATGTTGAGTATCTTGTGTAGACAACCATTTACCAATACTTGTACCTTCTTGATGGTGGTTGTTGTAGTTCTCCAAGTTTCAGCTCCGTACAGTGTGACTATATTGACGTTCTTATTGAAGATTCTGACTTTGATATTGAATAAAAGATAGTTTTTTGAGTTCCATATGTTCTTTAATTGTAGGAATGCGGCCCTTGCTTTGCCAATCCATGACTTCATATCTGGATCAGATCCTCCTTGGTCATCGATGATGCTCCCCAGGTACGTGAAGGATTCTACATCTTCCAGAGTTTCAACATCAAGAGTGATTGCATTGCTGTTCACTGCTTTGAATTTGAGGATCTGGCTGTCTTTATCTGCATTTGTTCGTGTGTATTGGATACGAGGGCTAGGTCATCTGCGAAGTCCAAATCGTTTAATTGGTTCTGAGCTGTCCATTGTATTCCGCGTTTTCCCTCAGATGTCGAGGTCTTCATAATCCAGTCGACCACCAGAAGAAAGAGGAAGGGAGAGAGTAGACAGCCTTGTCTGACTCCGGTCCTTACTTGGAATGCATCTGTCAGCTGTCCTCCATGCACTAATTTGCACTGTAGTCCGTCGTATGAGTTCCGGATAATATTGACAATCTTCTCAGAAACTCCGTAGTGTCGAAGAAGTTTCCATAACGTCCTCCTATCTACATTGTCAAATGCATTTTCGTAATCAGTGAAGTTGATGTATAGTGACGTGTTCCACTCAACTGATTGTTCGACGATCGTCACTCATAGGTTGTCCATAAATTACAATCTCACCAATGATATACAATTCACAATATGGAATGAGTAAATATTAATTATGTAACTTACATATATTAAATTTAATTTCACCAGTTAAATTACTCATTGGAATTGGTTTACATTGAAATCGTATATATAAACCACTTGTTAATGGATAATTAACACGGAAATTTTCATCTGATGTACGAATCACTATATGAGAAGATAAGAAGTAAAGTTTAGGTAATTAATGTAAAAGTACTCAACTACTGAAATTATTACAATCTAAACAACCCCCCCCCAATCTGTTAATAATTTCATGTGCTTATTAGTGACTGACTTTAAGAGGTATTTTTGGAAGTTCCAATGGAGTTCAAAAGGGTCTGTTATGGTATAGTAACTCACTGAAGACAATGATGAATGGCGGTACAATATCGCGGATTCATTGAAGTTAGACATTAAAACCGTTTATTACCGGTTCAATGGTCTATAGTTTAGGTTCTGGGTTCGAATCCCATGGGTCGACATCTTGAATGCATACTGTTGAGTAGTCACACACTAGGATAAAACGATCGTCCAATGCTTTCAGGTTTCCTATGGTGGTGTAGCTGCAGTTGACTCATGAACTCAACTATTAAATTACTATAATATCGACAAAATAAAACCCTTTCTGATAATTAATGTGGAGTTTACAGAGACTTCTATTCAAAGATATAAGAAATCTGTTACTGAAGTAAATAATTCAATGAGACAATAATAACTTAAGAATATTGAGGGTGATCGAGAGGAAATGCTGATACACTTCAATAAGACATAACTACAATCTTAAATGGATAAGTTCTCCTCATATGATTTGAGGTCACTTTCTCATCTAGCTTAACACTCTATGATGTCGAACTATTCGATTCCTACAGAAAATTCAAATCCTGTTGTATATTAAAAAAATCGTTACTTATACTAAACCTAATCTGATCACAATGATCTAATGATCCAGTAATGTGATCTATAATCACTTTGCTGAAACCCAATTCAAACTGTTAATCTGTGACATGGATTATGGATATGCTTTTTTTTACTTTATAACTCATTAAGTGTAGAACCTACGTTTCGAAAGCTAATGACAACCAGGATGTATAACGTTTTCAAATGAATGATCATGAATGTTGGAATTGCCATCAGGTATCTATATCAGTAAGTCACGTTGTCCGATACAATATAATTGTTTCAAAATTTCTATCAATCTTAAATGTTGTTTCAACTAACCAATTGACTTAAGTACGGACTGTAAGATTTTGAAGTGGAAAATAACATACCTTTGTTAGTTATATCAGTGGTTTTGTTTAATTGATAATCAACAATTGTCCAAGTAGGTGTTTCACAATGTTTAGCATCAGGAGTAAAACCTCCAACGATAAAATCCCATGTTGGCAATTCTTCTTCCTTCTCATCATCGTCATCATCAACTTCGGATTCAATTGGTTCAGCTGCTTCAGCAAGACCTAATTCTGTTTTACTACCACTAGTCATTGGTTGAACACGTATTATTGTTTGAATACGTTTAACTTCAACACCATCTCTATCACGTAAAACAATTCCTTCATAAATTCCTTCATGTTGTTCAGCAGCAGCCCAAATATTCAAATTCGTTTTATCTTGTGATGTACCTTCAGGGAGAGTTGAATCGGAATCTAATATCTTTATTTCATCATCTTTCTTTTCTTTTATTGTTTCAGGAAGTGGTCCAATTTTCTTCCAATTAACACTAATATCTTCTTTACCTGGTTTTGTTCTTACTTGCACAATATATGGTTGCATAAATGGAAAAGTTATCTCAGTTGGTGGATTAATAATATCATCTGGGGTAACTATAATCAATAAAAATGAGAATTACTTGAGTGGTAATATATTGAATAAAGTCAAAAGCCGGAAATAGGTAATATATAGAGTAGATTCTGATAGAACCAATCACTATTATACTGACAGGGTACTTTATGCCTGATCACATGCACATTTGTAACTGTAGTCTGTTAGTTAACATTATCACTGAGCTTGTAAAGTGTTTTCTTTACGTTATATATACATACTTTTTCCAATACTTACTTACGCCTGTTACTCCTAATGTAGCAGAGGCCGTCAACCAGCATTCTCCAACACACTCTGTCCTGGACCTTCTTTTCTAGTTTCATCCACTTCTTGTTCATTTTTCTCATGTCTATTTCCATTTTCCGGCGTAATGTGTTCTTTGGTCTTTCACTTATCCTTTGGCTTTGAGGATTCCATGTGAGGGCTTGCCTTGTGACGCAGTTGCGTGCTTTTTTCCAATACAGCTTATCTTATATATAATTATCAAGGGCATTGATGTTCACTAATAGAAAAACTCTACTTTGTTCAGTTAACATATCTCTTCTTTATAAATCACTTAATATTTCATTAAAATCATTAACTCATCAATGTTTGACTACGATTGAAAATCTAGAAGTACTAGATGTCCATTTCATTCTAGTATGGGACTCCTTAACAGTGCAAAGTCACAATCTCACACGCAGAACTCGAACTCAGGATATTTAGTCTCGCGTACGAACGCTTAAATTTTAGACCACTGAGCCAGAAGCCAGCAATGTCAATGTCTAATTTCAATAGATCCATAATCTTGCACAATACATCATTCATTCTATAAGATGGATAACTATCTCATACCTAGGACGAAACGGCCGTCTAGTGCTTCCAGGTTTTCAATGGTGGTCTAGCTTCAACTGACTCATGATTTCAATCTGTGAAATTTGTAAAATCTCCACAAAACCCATTCTGATAATAATCAACTGCTCACTAGTGACTGACTTTAGGAAAAACTCCCGAAGTTCTAGTGAGAAGCCGTTACCAGTGGAGTTCAACCAGGTCTGTTGTGAGATAGGACTCACTGAAGACAATGGTGTACGGTGGCGCAACTTCGTGGATTGGTTGAAGTTAGACATTAACACCGTTGGATGCCGGCTCAGTGGTCTAGTGGTTAAGTGCTCGCGCGCGAAGCCAGTAGGTCCTGGGTTCGAGCTCCGCGTGGTGCGGGATCGTGGATGCGCACTGCTGAGGAGTCCCATACTAGGACGAAACGGCCGTCCAGTGCTTCCAGGTTTTCAATGGTGGTCTAGCTTCAACTGACTCATGATTTCAATCTGTGAGATATCTCATACCTGATACAACTTAGATTTCACTGGTCAAAGCTTCAAGCATTCACAAAATCCTATTACAACGTTCATTTAATGGAACAGAATCGATTTCAGACTTTTTTTCCTCACTTTACTTTTCATAATATTGAATCAAAAGTCTGTTAACTTTTTTTTATCAGAAGGGGTTTTGTTGAGATTTTAGAAATTTCACTGATTAAAATCATGATACTATCATGGAAAACCTGGAAGCACTGAACGTCCGTTTCGTCCTACTGTGGGACTCTTCAGCAGTGCGCATCCAAGCGGGGTACGGGATACTAGTAAGAGTTCTATAGTTTCTTGTTATAGATATTCAAAAATGAAGTTGATGGATTTACTTGATTAAACTACTAATTACATACTAAAACTTGTATTATAGAGCAATATAGAAATAATCTACTATAGTTGTAAATATAGAACTTACTTTCATCGGCTTCTGTATCTATAATAATTGGTTTCATCATTCTTGTCCATTGAGGTGTATAAATAGGATCTTTACCTATGAAATAACCTATAATTGAATCATTTCCTAATTTAATTGTTTCATATGGTATTGTTAATTGAACTGTAAATGCTCCACGTGCAGTATCTGTAATTTCAGTTTTTCCAGGAATAAGAGTTCCATTAATAGAATACCAAATGGTATGATGAGTATCTAATATTTCAGGCTAAATTTAAAATAACATAACATGATGTTAATGATAATGAATGAAACATTCTGAATGATTTCTAATATTCAATGATAAAATCAATACTGAAAATATGTATTCAAATATGATTATTAATAAATCAATTCAAGTGAGTGGTTGTCTTGTGATACAGTTGAATGTTTTCCACAATGTATATCCTATCCACTTCCATCACTTCATCCTGATTTCTTCTTCCGCTGGGATCTGGTTTGTTCTCTCCCTTAGTAGGTTGTTGCTAATAGTGTCTGGCCAACGGATCCGAAGTATTTTGTGTAGACAACTGTTAATAAACACTTGTATCTTCTGGATGATGGTTTTCGTAGTTCTCCAAGTTTCCGCCCCATACAGTACAATTGTCTTGACATTTGTATTGAAAATTCTGACCTTAGTGTTGGTTGACAGATAGTTGTTTTGAGTTCCAGATGTTTTTCAATTGTAGATATGCTGTTCTTTCTTTTTCGATCCATGCCTTTAGATCTGCATCATATCCACCGTGAATAAAGCAGAAACCTAGAGAACTTCGAAAGCCATCATCCAGTAGATACAAATGTTTATTCACAGTTGTCTACGCAAAACACTTCGGATCCGTTGATTAAACACTATCAGAGGAGGAAGAAATCAGGAAGAAGTGTTGGAAGTGGATAGGATACATATTGAGGAAGGCACTCAATTGCGTCATAAGGCAAACCCTCAATTGGAATCCTGAAGGCCAAAGGAGAAGATGAAGACTAAAGAACATATTACGCTGAGAAAGAGAGACAGACATGAGAAAAAATGAATAACAAATAGATGGAACTAGAAGGCAAGGGCCAGGATAGAGTGGGTCGGAAGTGCTGGTCGACGGCCTATACTCCATTAGGAGTAACAGGCGCAAGTATGTAAGTCATCTCTAATGAATATGGACTTATACTCTTATATGAGCAGGCTTATAAACGCAATTCGTTCAACTAAATCTGTTTCCGCCTAACCTAAGTCAACTATGTAAACAAAAACCACAATGAAAAACAGCACCAACACAACTTTCAAAGTTTATTCTAAGAAATAATTATTTAATACAATGTATGACTGCAATGCAACTCCGCCTGAAGCCCTTCTGTGGCTACTGCCCGTCCGAAGCTTAGATAAAGCAAGAGGGTTAGGTATGGGGTGAGCGGCCCAATCCTGTAGAAAACTAACTCGCTAAAAAAACGCTAACCAGGAATGAAAATAATTCAAACCATTCAGAATCTGCCCTGGGAGTTAGAAAGTCTACATTTAGAAGAGTTATGACGCCTCGTAGTGAAAGCCGAGTTCTTTTGAAAGTCATGAGGCTGATGCCCATCATGACAACCAGACTAGACATTAATTTAGGTATATGCAATGTTCGTACAATGTGGGGAACCGGGAAAGTCATCCACATTGCTGAAGAAATGAAAAGATATAACTTGGAGGTGGTTGGAATCAGTGAAACATATTGAACGCAGATTGGACAACAAACACTAACTTAAGGGGAGCTTTTGTTATACTCTGGACATGAATCAGAAAATACTCCACATACACAAGGAGTTGCATTAATGCTAGTTACTTCCATTTTGTTTTCTTTAGGTTTCTGTTCATAATTGTCACTACATTTCTGCGTGTAGTAGCATTCAATACAGATTTAAATCAAATAAAGTCTAGTTCTCACATAAAACTGTCTATTCAATTTGTTATTTTAACACAATAAAAACATTTTTTTAATTATCAGTATAGGGGTTGTGGAGATTGTTAAGTTTTGAATGAGATCATGAACCGATTGATGTTAGACCACCATTGAAAACCTCGAAGCACTGGACGGCCGTTTCGTCCTAGTATGGGACTCCTCAGCAGCGCGCATCCACGATCCCGCTCGCAGGATTCGAACCCAGTGCCTTCAGTCTCATTCATTTATTGAAAAACTTACTTTCACTTGACCACTAATCAGTGTTATTTGTGGATTATCTGGATCTTTTTTTATTTCATAAACTGTTAAAACTGGTGGGTCAAGTATTGGCGGTGTAGGTAATGGGAATTTTCTATTGATTTCATCATCTTCAGGTACATCAGGTGGTGATGCAACATCTGTACAAGATAATTAAGATAGAAGAATATAAAACAGTGAAATATTCCGTAGTTAACAATAAGAACCAGTAATGTCTAAAAGTGTGAAAATTGATCAGTCTCTGGTTGACATATGTGCATTCTGTTCGGATTGCCTCGATATTGCCTTAAGTCACAAGGATTATAAGCAAAGATGGATAATGGTTAGCAGTGGAATCCAGTTTGACGAGCGTTTCGTCCTATTTGGGACTCGTCATCATCTGGATGTACCTGCATCTCAGAATTAATAATTCCCGGAGTGAACATCAACTCTGAGATGCAGATACATCCAGCTGAAGACGAGTTCCAAATAGGACGAAACGCTCGTCAAACTGGATTCCACTGCTTAAAAGTAATGTTCTCATTTTTATAAAGTTACTGATAGAGAAATGAATAACTCATTTAAAACATAATTGTTGAATTGTAAAGTTTGTTTTGACAATCCTATTTTCATGTTATTTTAATCGAACTGAAGTGTTGTTCTCGCAGGCATTGTTATAGATAACCTATTCCATTTGATTACTGATAAGTATTTATAAATGATCTAACTAGAATTTAAGCCATATCAGCTTCTATCTATTGAATACCTTAAAACAATTGTCACTTTGTTTAATACAAGATCACTGATTAACTAATAACATAAACTGTGAATAGAAGTATTCAATGTTAATATTCACGTAAACTGTATCAAATTCATTTTAATCAGAGAGCGGTTTTGTGGACATTATAGTAATTTGAATAGTTGAATTCATAAGTTAATTGAAACATAACCACCATAGAAAACCTGGAAGACCTAGAAGCACGGGATGGCTGTTTCGTCCTGCTTGAGGAGCCCGACCGTAGTTGCTACCTTGATGTGATGGTCAGGCTTGCCTATCGTGATGAAGCAACCGAGCTATACTGGCTGGAACAACTGTTCCTCAGAGTACTACTATGTCAGACAGGTTGGTTGAAGAACGGTAAGACTAAAAGCAACAAACCCAAGGTCCGAAAGCGAAGTCGTACTACTGACTGTACAGAAGTGTGACAGCAGTAAGGTGTTTCCTTCAAACAACTAGCATGACAGCGATGCTGCTTTCCCACAAGAAGGAGTGGGGTTAGAAAAGGTCGACTCTAAAAATGCACACCTCGCCTTATCCCACGGATATCCGTCTCTGGCGGTAAGGTTTCAACAAGTACGGAGCTAACACAAAAATTACTCATAAAACGGTCGTGTGTGGCCGACCTCAAGCAGTTGTCCCTTGGGCACTGCGGTTACGCTCTCAGGTCACTAAGACCACCTTTAATCCAATTTCCTTTTCAAGCACCTCTAGTAGAACCCTTCCACGGTGTGGGCAACTTGGCACAGATAACTGCCCTTATACTTCTAACAGCACTCAAGATCACTGTATTCATAATCAACCTGCTGAGGAGTCGCATACTAGGACGAAACAGCCCTCATTTGCTTCCAGGTTTTCCATAGTCATCTAGCTTTAATTGACACATGAATTCAACTAGTTAGAAATAAAATAATTTCAATTACTTACCAGGATCAATAACTACAACATAAAATGTTTCTTTTACTTCAGTTCCAACTCCTTTTGCAATACATTTATATTCACCAGCATCTTCTGGTTTAGCAAATTTAATTTGTAATAAAGCTTCTGATTGATAAGTAGTCAAATTCTCTTTAGTAGTATAATAATTAGGTTTAGTTAAATATTGTCGACTTATAATTGGTTGACTAGCATATTCATTATTTGGTGTAATCCATTCATGTGTTACTAGGCCACCACGATAGGATGTAACTTTACAAATTAAATTAATTGGTTCACTTAATTTGACAATAACACGACGTGATTTAGTATCAATGGTAACAGCTGTAGTTTAGAAGTAAAAAAAAAGGGATAAACGGAGAAATAACACATGAGAATAGAATACACAACAACAATACAAAAAAGGGTACCATTTGTAACATATGTCATGTTTTGTTCTCTGAACTGGTTGATTTGGTTTAGCTCAGAGAACAAAACGCCATCTAAATGATTCAAATGAGCAACAAATCTTCTCGACCATATCATGTTTGTTTTGATAAACGTATTTATTGAGTTCAAATGATTTGCTTTAACAGTAAGTACTTCGTTACTATTTCAAGTATCTTGATAATGAAGTGAAGGAGAACACAGGTGTGGACAACCGAGGGATATTTAGAACAACATTACAGATTTACGTGGTAAAATAGAAAAATCATACTATAATACTTAATTTGCAAAGTGTTCAATAATTGTGTCGAACTTCATTGTACTTGCATTTCTATACTAATTGCTTTCTATTCCCGTTCTTCCTTTCTTGATCTTCTCAATCTTCTACTGCGAGACATTACATTCCTGACTCGCGTTATATACTACTTATGTCAATATAAGTAGCACGCACCACAATAATACACTTCCATAATCATAGATTGCTCAAACTATCATCTTTATTGACAAAATATTCGAAGAACGGTATCATTATTATTTTACCGAGAGTTTAGTTTATGATTAAGTTGGAAAGAGAATAGAATAGCTAAATGATAAACAAAGTGACTCGGTTTAGGGATACTAGAGAATGTAAACCATGTGGATGATTATTCATGCAGTAATCGTTATTTATACCTGATGACTTGAAATCTCTATCAATGACAGAGATGTATTTATACAGTTTGTTCTTCGTAACCCATAGTTTTGTTCACTTTGTCCAAATTATGTTCTGTTAGTCTAACTTTTTGAGTTTAATCGGTACTAATATATTTCTAATGACTCAATTTTCATCTGATTAGTTTTCATTATTTATCATTTATTTATTTGAACACATAGATATTGGTACGAAGAGGCACTGAATACATATGCACCACACAAGTCATTTGATTTATGTGTGGGTTATGATACTACCCGGGTGCCACAACAAAACCGAGTGGTTTACTTAGTAGGCCACACCCGGAGCCTTCGACCTAAAGGTCCAATCTACAAGGCAGTGGAGCAACGTTAGGAGATGCAGTCCCATAGTAGTCGGTGACCAACAATTGATTCATACTCCATTTGTCCCCTTAGGATCCTGGAGCCCATGTGCACCATTGGTTTGAAATTAGGGCTTTCCAACTTCCCTAGGTAGATCCTCCATATCCACCAACCCAGTTAAAGCGCTGGACATCCAGTTTTCGTTCTTTCAATTTCGTAAACAACTCCCTGGTTGTGAGAAAACAGTGAGTAGGTCTTTTCTATCACTAGCTCTATACCTTTAACTGTTAGGGATGCTGAGGAATATACCAATCATTATCATGTTAAGTCTAATGATGTCCTTGGACTCTAAATGGGCATTTCCTATTGACCATTATTTATTTCACTCGTTAAATATTGTACAGATGTTGTTTTCTATTTTTATGGTACGATGTGGTCCGTTTGATTGGTATATAAGCAGAGTATGTTTGAAATAGAACGATTCATAACTCAGAGGCTGTGACTTGCGTTCTAGACTCAACTGGCTGGGCTAGACAGGGGAGCGGGACCAATCGGGACTCTAGGTCGTCCTTACGTGTTTTACGTGTCACTGATTCGATCGATAAATACGCTGCTCATCTAACCTGCAGTCCACCCGTTACAACAGTAACCATGTAAAAGCGTTTTGAGAGGTAGAACTAACTCTCCTCACCCTCATTTGTACCAAGGCATTAATAAGGACTAGACAATAATGATAATAGTCAATATAGATTTATGAATAAGAATAAAATGAACACTATATAGATTAACCATAATACCAAAACACTAATTGATACAGATGTGAATCCCACATGATATAACAGTTTCTTAAACATTGCAGGTACACCACTAATGATAAATGCTTTCTAGGACAAAAACTAGGTTAAAAGTTTAGTATGAATTTTCTTCAAGCACTTAAGATCATTACATGATTAAAAGGATAAAGTGATCTGATTCTTTTTTCAACATTATAAATCAACTACACAGTGGCACTTTAATGTCATTCTCTAAGGTACGTGACGATGATGATGATGATGATGATGATGATGATGATGATGATGATGATGATGATGATGATGATGATGATGATGATGATGATGATGATGATGATGATGATGATGATGATGATGATGATGATGATGATGATGATGATGATGATGATGATGATGATGATGATGATGATGATGATGATGATGATGATGATGATGATGATGATGATGATGATGATGATGATGATGATGATGATGATGATGATGATGATGATGATGATGATGATGATGATGATGATGATGATGATGATGATGATGATGATGATGATGATGATGATGATGATGATGATGATGATGATGATGATGATGATGATGATGATGATGATGATGATGATGATGATGATGATGATGATGATGATGATGATGATGATGATGATGATGATGATGATGATGATGATGATGATGATGATGATGATGATGATGATGATGATGATGATGATGATGATGATGATGATGATGATGATGATGATGATGATGATGATGATGATGATGATGATGATGATGATGATGATGATGATGATGATGATGATGATGATGATGATGATGATGATGATGATGATGATGATGATGATGATGATGATGATGATGATGATGATGATGATGATGATGATGATGATGATGATGATGATGATGATGATGATGATGATGATGATGATGATGATGATGATGATGATGATGATGATGATGATGATGATGATGGTGAAATTGTTTGTTTGACCTGCGACTTGGACATAAGTGTCTAATCTGTTAACCAACATTACTGATGAGGAGTTCCATACTAAGAAGAAACTGCCATCAAGTGTTTCCACGTTTTCTATAAACGGTCTAACATTGATCAACTCATGATCTCAACGTAAACTTAACAATCTACATAACCTTATACTATTAATTATAATATGCTCATTAGTGACTAACTTCGAGTGGTCATTCGCTGAGTTCTAATCAGAAGCCATGACTAGTGGAGCTAATCTGTATCGAATGTGAGGCTTAATTCACTTGATATTGTTTTACTTGAATCTTCCCATTGATGTTTTTGGACTGAAATTGATCAGTCTCTTATTGGCATATGTGCATACTATGCGTATGCCTCGATATTGCCTTAATTTACAAGCATTATAAGCAAAGATGGATAGTGGCTAGCAGTGGAATCCAGGACGCGCGTTTCGTCCTGTTTGGGACTCGTCAGCTGGCTATCAGGACTCAGTAGCTAAGTGGATAACGCGATGGCGTTTGAAGCGAACGGTACTGAGTTCGAGTCCCAGAGTGAACATCAACTCTGAGATGCAGGTACATCCAGCTGACGAGTCCCAAACAGGACGAAACGCGCGTCCTGGATTCCAATGCTAGCCACTATCCATCTTTGCTTAGAATGTGAGGCTGTTACCTACGGTAAAGAATACTATTATTTATATTGTATTATATGTATCATGAACTAACCTTTTTGACATGTATCAAAACGTTTCCCACTGTATATATCATAAATATATTCACCTTCAGAACATCTTAAATAGGAGATAAAATGAATTACATTATTATGTAATCATCAAGTTGGAAATTTCAAAAAAATATAAGAATCATATTACAATAGAATTCTGGAATAGAAAGATCATTCAGTCAAATACAAATATGATTTACATTTGATGATCATTGTTAATCTTGATGATTAACCTTAATCTTTGAATATGGGCTGAATAAAATAGATAAGCTTAGGTTTAATGCTGTTTAACATTAATCAATAAAGCTTATCTGTAAAGATCACGTCGATAATCCCTTTACATGAGATTCAATTCAGATTATTTATGAAACAGATTAGTAACCATATTGAGATTTGATTCATATAATTGAATCAATAATGTTTACTACTACTCTGTGGAACAACTAATATCACATACCCATTACTTATGCATATAAATGTTCACCTTGGAAACTAAATTCCATATAAAAAGATGTTTCAGAGAGGTCATTATCTAACTGAACTATACATTGGAACTGGGTTTTTTTTATTCCCTATAGCCTTTTTATACATTGGATTTGATGATCAGAATCATTTGGACTGTTACCAGTTTCCATACTCTATTATTACTAGTAATAAAATATTAGTAGGAACTCGTGACTGTCATATTTCATAAATACAGAGATTCATAAACGATAACAGTAGCTGATAAATATTCTTGAGTCTTGAATGAACTAAAGATGAAACTATAGATTTCAACGTCAAGATCTTTAGGTAATTCACTTGTTTTGAGATCTACTGGTTCTGAATGTAATCTCAAATAGAGTATCCATTGAGGATTGTTAGGAAGTTGTTTACTTGGTAAATACAGTTGTCTACTGTTCCACGGTTTTTAGTGGTACTTAAAATGAAGTCAGTTCATAATGACTACCATCTGTATAAACAAAAGGAAGATTACATTGGTTGAAATCATAAGTCAATTGAAGCTAGACCACCATGGAAAACCTAGAAACACTGGACGGTCGTTTCGTCCTAGTATGGGACTCCTCAGCAGAAAAGAAAGACTAGTTTGTTTTTTTTACAGAAAACCTATTAGATACGAAAAACATGACTGTCTTAACTAGTTATGTTTTATTAAATTTATCTCAGTATAATTCACGTTTAAAACATTTTTAACAAGATCTTATAACTTACTCTTTACATTTATCACCTAAACAACCTCCACATTGAACATCTTCACCAAGAGGTTCTAAACGAATAACCGTTTGTTTTGATAGATCAGTACAACCCTAAAAAATAAATGTATAATTTAAGAATCTATACACTTGAAGATAGACATCTAAAACGATAGATAATATTACTATTCAAATTGTATTACAGAGAAATCAGTAGTGAAAATGAGGAAAGTTATCTGGGCTACTTGTTCCTGCTATCTTGATATCTTAACATGTTATCTGTTTCCTTGTTTGTTCTAACATATCATTAGGCTTATTAGTCTCATAACCTATTCAGGTACGTTTGTGAAAAGATCACGACTTTTCGTCACAAAAGTTACAATTGCAGCCCTAAACAACAGTGAGAAGATACAATCAAATAATACCAAGTGAATTTAAACTTCACCCCATTGTACAAGAAGGTGTCTATTGAGACAAAAGAGTTCAATCAGAGACATCGTAATTGTTTGTAATATACATCGAATAGAATATACATGAATCAGATGTCGGTTCCTAAATTGCTAACATCTAACTAGTGATCACTTAATACATTATCGTCAGGATAGATGAAGAAACAACAGAAAGAAACTTGTTGAAATACTTTGCTCCAAGAATTCAATATTGTACCAAAAAAATATAATATTGAATGAAGCTAATAGTAACAACAACAGTCAGTCAGTCAGTAACAACGTAGAACTACATACATGCGTACATCAGTTCGAGTTGCCACATCACATTAGCACAGAGATGCAGTGGTCGATTCAAATCCCGTAGTGCTAGATGTAGTAATCATTTAAAGCATAATCTTAATAAACAACTCATCTTTAGCACGATAGTGGCTAGTAACGGAATCTATTTTCACGCGTGTTTTGTCCTATTTGGGACTCGTCGTCAGCTAGATGAACCTGTATCTCAGAGTTGGTGTCCATTCCAAGACTCGAACCCAGTGTCATTCGCTTCAAACACCATCGTGTTATCCACTTAGCTACTGAGTCTTAATAGATACCTTCATGTACAATGGGGTGAAGTTTAAATTCACTTGGTATTGTTTACTTATATCTTCTCATTGTTGTTTAGGGCTGCTATTGATCAATCTCTTGTTGGTATATTCGTTGACATTTATTCGTCAGTATTTTAATAAAGAATGATTTAAACAAAATATCATGAATCCATTTCAGTACGTTGGTTTCTCATCATCAGCTTAGTACACTCATGATCTTTCTCTACTACTATTATTGATAACATAGAATTCATTTTATATCAAACATGGAATATTTTATTCAGTCTTCTTCAAATTTACTTTAGATCCTCATTATATTACACCTATATACGCTTATACTGTTTCGTTTAGACTATAATTTATGGAAGACTTTTGAATGAGGCTAAATTTAACCTTGAGAGTGTTCACCTAATAACTAGCACCAAATGAACGTTATGAACTACTGTGAAGGATAAGAATTATGATTTACAGTTAATGGTTATGGTTAGAGATTAGATTCCGGGATTTTATCACGAACTGACATCAGCTATAATACCAAAGCTCTATTTAGCCAAATGAATGGATGAATGCCGCGCCAAAATTCAACACCTGTTATCTTGCACCTGATTGGTTCGTTCATAAATTATAGTCTCGTCATTGTTTCCCTAACCAATCAACATAAGCCAAACAATAATATAGTTGAATTCTGTTCAAGCAGTTGTCGATCAGGTAAAGATTAGTCGTGACTGAACAATAAGTGAAAATAGTCATCTTAACACATATACACACAATACAAGAGAGTGTATTTTAGATGTAAAATGGTTTTCACTACCATTCAATTATAAGTTCACTTACTGACTATTTTGTAAACTCTCATTCTTATATAATCTAATTCTTGATGGTTGATTAGTTGATTCAGTCAAATATATCATGTAATCAAGCATATTGGAACTAATGATTTTATAATTCTTAAGCCAAATCTATTCCCTATTTATCTATCATATCATTCCCATTGTAGGATCAATCAAAGTCTATTCCTTATTTAACCATCATATCGTTCCCAATGTAGAATCAATCAATGTCTATTCCTTATTTATCTATCATTTCATTTCCCATGTAGGATAAATGAATGTTTATTCCCTATTTATCTATCATATCATTCCCATTGTAGGATCAATCAATGTCTATTCAATATTTCACTATCATATCGTTCCCTATGTAGGATCAATGAACTCGATCTTTTCCCATGGTGACAATAAGTAACCCAACAACAACAACAACAACAAAAAGATTATTTAGATTCATTTACTTCACAACTTGGTGATAATTCACGTTCATTTAATGAATTTGATTGATTTGGACAATTACATATTTCAACTGGTGCTTTTATTAAACCTTGTTCATTAGCAAATAATTGACGTTCATTTGTTTTAATTGGTATACTAATTTGTATTGATAGACCAGATAATTTGATATCATTTAATGATTCACTATTTCCACTACTTGTTATAATACCAATATTTGTTGTTGTTACTAAGAATCTTAATAATTGATTTCTTGTTAAACTCATTGATGTATCATATAATGTTAATGGTGTACCTAAATGCCAACCACCTGGCCACCAATTTTCATGAAATTCTATTTCATAACGTTGGGTTGTTAAATTATATGTTGCTAATGTCCATATACGTCCATAACGAGGTGACTATAAATGAAAAAAATATATATTTGAAAATAATCATATAACAATACAATATTCATTATAAATGGATATAACTCCTCCTCCATCACCTTCTGGAGCCCCTCTGGAATTACTGTTGGTCTCAAGCCCAGATGAAGGAGGAGAAATTAATTCACTGAAAAAAACGCTAACCAAGATTAACATAAGGTATTCTCCATACTTAAAAATCAATATGATAATCATTAAAAGAACTTCTGATGTATAAAACACTTATTATATATTTAGACATTAATACCGTTGAATGCCAGTCGGTTCAATGGTCTAGATGTTAAGAGTTCACGCACGAGATCGATAGGTCCTGGGTTCGAATCATTTTGGTGTAGGATCGTAGATTCCCACTGCTAATGAGTTCTATACTAGGACGAAACGACCATCTAGTGTATCTAGGTATTCCATAGTGGTCTAGTGTCAATTAACTCATGAATTCAACTATTAAAAGTTATCAGTTTAGGGGTTAATAATTTATATTCTGAAAAGTAATAATAATTACAGAATTCACCCCAGTTTACAGGCATGATCAATTTGATATAAATAATAACGTTAGACGTGCAGAACAAACATGTGATAAAAGAAAGTTTTAAGTATACTAGTTCAGTAGTTGTTTAAGTAGTATATATATTACAGAGATTCTATACATCAGCCGGGTTGTGGAGATTGTTAAGTTTTTTTTATTGAGATCATGAGTCGGTTGAAGCTAGACTACCAGTGAAAACCTATAAGCACTGGATGGCCGTTTCGTCCTATTGTGGGACGACCCCGCACCCCGCGAGATTCGAACCCAGGGCCTTCAGTCTCGCGCGCGAGCGCTTAACCTATTGGACCACTAAGCCGGCATCCAAGTTACTATAATATCTATAAAACACCTTTCTGATATTTTCATTATCAAACATTTCAATGAAATCCAGCTATATTATTGAACACTTAAATATATAAACATGACAAATGCCAATATTCAGATTTATTATTCTGTTCAATATGTCATAAGCTTATTTTTATTAATATTCGAACCATTTACTTAAACAAATAACATTTGAACTAGAATTCAGACATCTACACTAAATAAGGACTTGACACACATGACATTGATCACCACCCACTGATCAATCAATTGTAATTACATCTCAGTCCTACACCATGTCGGTCACGACCCGAATACCTCAGTGGTAACGTCTCTGACTGTGAAGCTGGGTGACACGGGACCGAATCTGTCAGGGAGCACCAGTTCCCTCAATATTACAGGTACACCTTACTGACGAGTGTCAAGTAGCACGAAACTCAGGTTCAGGGTTTCCTGTCGACTACCTCTAACCACCATCTTATCTCACAATAGTGCATGCAGTGTCGAGTCACCTAGACTGGTGGCCACATTGCAACATGATCGATAGCATTCGATCTGCACTAATAATAAGGACTTGATACACATGACATTGGTCACCACCCAGTGATCAATCAATTGTGATATATTGAACATTTTACTTAATTAATTAATATGTAAGAATTCATTAAATTTGATCTTAGTAACTATAATCACCAATTTATATCGGACAGAAAGTTGACAAATATCAAGAAGTATTCAACAAGTATTGTGAATCCATTGTTCTAGAATTCTTTAAGATTGTTTATTATTGATCACATACAAGAATAAGCGTAGGAACTTTAAGTAGTACTTATATAATCTAATGATTCATACTTTATATTTCACTCCACACGTTATATAATACTTCTATTTAAGTTGATCATTCATAAGTAAGCGTGATTACTTACTTACTTACTTACTTACTTACTTACTTACTTACTTACTTACTTACTTACTTACTTACTTACTTACTTACTTACTTACTTACTTACTTACTTACTTACTTACTTACTTACTTACTTACTTACTTACTTACTTACTTACTTACTTACTTACTTACTTACTTACTTACTTACTTACTTACTTACTTACTTACTTACTTACTTACTTACTTACTTACTTACTTACTTACTTACTTACTTACTTACTTACTTACTTACTTACTTACTTACTTACTTACTTACTTACTTACTTACTTACTTACTTACTTACTTACTTACTTACTTACTTACTTACTTACTTACTTACTTACTTACTTACTTACTTACTTACTTACTTACTTACTTACTTACTTACTTACTTACTTACTTACTTACTTACTTACTTACTTACTTACTTACTTACTTACTTACTTACTTACTTACTTACTTACTTACTTACTTACTTACTTACTTACTTACTTACTTACTTACTTACTTACTTACTTACTTACTTACTTACTTACTTACTTACTTACTTACTTACTTACTTACTTACTTACTTACTTACTTACTTACTTACTTACTTACTTACTTACTTACTTACGCCTGTTACGCCTTGTGAAGGAGCATAGGCAGCTCACCAGCGTGATTACTGTTTTATTAATTGTACAATTCCATGATAAGTGAATTGTTATTAGTATCAGTCAATTATTACTATAGATTCATAACAGAAGTTATGTAAAACAGATTTCTTTTGCTGGTAGTCAGGTCTATGCGCAAAAAGGTTAGATTATTATCCTTAGTGTATCAAATTAAACCATGATCTTGTTTCCACTAAGGTGTACCACAACAGGAAGAAATGGACGTCCAGTGCTTCCAGGTTTTCTATGGTGGTCTAGCTTCAATTGATTCATGATCTCAACTATTGAAATTTCTTCAATCTTCACAAAACCCCTTCTGATAATAATCACATTTTTAGTAAAACAATTACTGTCAGCGTTATGACATATCCACGATACTGTTATATCTAGATGTTAAATTCTTGATATAACGCATACAACTTGAGCACTCAAATGTTAGAAGCCTTCAAGTCATAAATGAGAAGATAGAAGACAAGTGAAAGGGATGCTATTCCAAAACAGTTTCAAATACGGTACCATATTCTTAGGTGTTTAGTAAAAACGTAATCATCATTATCATCACCTAATCCACATACAGGGGGTTTTAACATTTGTCCAATAAGAAAGTTACATGTACAGATTCTGGAACGTTCTTCCAAAAGATGATTAGATAGAATATCTTCGAATATTTCTGAGTTTCTTATAGCTTCTTCAAGTTCATCTGTGTGCTGTCCTTACAGATACTATTACTATTTGTTTTATTAATAATCTGATATACATGTTTATACTAAAATAAACGTACAATTTATAATGTTCTATGATGATAATGTTTAATCGACTTGGGCATAGAAATGTACTCAGATAGGTACAACATAGGGGAAGTGCCATTACCCGTAGTCTGGTCTCATAAGGATCTAGGGGTGACAGTGAATCATGATCTTAAGACGACGGCCCATTGCCGGGAGGTCTCAGCTATGGGGTTTAGAACCCTCTGTGCTTTAAAACCGACATTTACTAAGTTAGATACTACCATGTTCACCACAGTATACACATCCTTAGTGAGAACTAAGCTTGAGAACTGCGTTCAGGTTGCAACCCCCTGTTTAAAAGGTGACTAGGATATCCTAGAAAAAGTAAAAAGGTCAGCTACCCGTGCAATTACAGAACTCCGGGGTTTACCATATAAAGAGCGGCTTGAAAACCTGGACCTCTTCACTCTGTCCTATCGCAGGTTAAGGGGAGATCTAATTTTGATGTACAGAATACTGAGAAATGATTTTGGACCTAACTTATTCTCTCTTTTTCCACCCACTAGATCGGGACATCTCAGAGGACATAGCAGGCGAGTTGAAAAGTCAAGAACGAACAAAATACACGCGGCATACTGGTTTTAACACCGAGTCATCAATACTTGGAGTCTGCTGCCCGAAGTAGTGGTGTCCGCACCTTCAATTGACAATTTCAAGAGGAGACTGGACACTCACAGAGGCATATTAGAAAAGGAATAACATAGGCCGTAGACCTTCTGTGCTTACTACACAAATCTGAATCTGATATAGATATAAAATTCAGTATATCAGTAAAATAAGTACACAAAAAAGGAGTGGTAATCACCTCAAGTTCTACAACAACACTTGCTTCACGTTGGGTTAATTCATTTGGATTCAATTTGATAGAATCAATTCTGAATGACATTTTACCTCCATACATATATTTCTAAAAATAGAAAAAAGAAGAAGGAAATTAAGCGGATATTTAACATAAGATTCTTATTAGAAGTGGTTTTGTGGAGATTCTAGAAATTTCACTGATTGAAATCATGAGTCAATTGAAGCTAGACCACCGTGGAAGTCCTGGAAACACTGGATAGTCGTTTCGTCCCAGTATGGGACTCCTCAGCAGTGCGCATCCACGGCCTCGCCCCCTGCGAGATTCGAACCCAGGACCTACTGGTTTCGCGCGCGAGCACTTAACCACTAGGCCACAGAGCCGGTATCCAAGTTTCTAACAGTTTAAAAATGAATTATGAATGAATAAAGGTTTTGTGGAGATTGTAGTAATTTATTAATTGAATTCATGGGAAACCTGAAAGTACTAGATGGTCATTTGATCTTAGTATTGATTAAGCGTTTGAGTGCGAGATTGAAAGTCCTTGGTTTGAGTCCTTTTAGTGTGAGATCTTGGATGCGCACTGTTGATGAGTCTCATATAAGGACAAAATGGTCATTAAGTGCTTTCGAATTTTTTTGTGATGATCTTGCTTAGATAGATTCATGAAGTCAACTATTATAAATAATTATGTTTGATGGAAATGTTAGACGCTTTGTAAGTTACCATGATTATAAGCATCAAAGACACAAATAATTTCCGTGGTGGTCTAGCTTCAATTGACTCATGATTTCAATCAAAAACTTAACAATCTCTACAACACCTAAACTGATAATTACCATGTGCTCACTAGTGACTAGTTTCGTGAGAAAATTCTCGGAGTTCTGGTAAGAAGTCGTGACCAGTGGAGCTAATCAATGTCGAGTAGAAACAGATATCTACCTCAGTACAATGGAAGATGGTCGCGCATTTTCGTGGATTGGTTGAAGTTAGACATTAACATCCATTGGATGCCGGCTCAGTCGTCTAGTTGGTTAAGCGCCTGGCTGGAGACTGATAGGTCCTGGGTTCGGATCTCGCGGGGTGCGGGATCGTGGATGCGCACTGCTGAGGAGTCCCATACTAGGACGAGATGGCAGTCCAGTGCTTCCAGGTTTTCCATGGTGATCTAGCTTCAATTGACTCATGATTTCAATCAAAAACTTAACAACCTTCACAACACCTAAATTGAAAATTATTTATCATTGTCCATATTGACTTACATAAATTGCGACATCATTTTGTGTTAGAGATGATGGTTTAGGTGGAATTAGATTAATACCAAAATGAATTATTCCTTTATTATTTAATGGATATTTAACATAAAAATTATCTAATTCACGTTCAATACGTGGATTTCCATCTGGTGTATATTCATTACGTTGTAATCCACCCATATCGGTTCGTTGACCAAGCCAAACATTAAAACCGAAACCAGCTGAATCCTCCTTGTAAAAATATAAATAAATCAATAATTAAATATTGTAAATAAAGGTCATAGATTGTTCACAAACAAATAATGATGTATCAATGGATTGATTAATCAAACTATCTAGCTTGAAAGAATAAAACTCAATCAAAATCATTCACTTAAGATACAAATCTACTCTACCATCTCATGAAAGGTTACTCATCAATTACTGAGATATACTTGTAATATATCCGTTTATCAATTAAGGGACTAGTATACTGAGCGGCAGTTCGTTCTGTCTTTACGGCTGCGAAACGTGGCCATTAAGAGTAGAAGATATTCGTAAGCTACTAGTATTTGACCACAAATGCCTTAGAAATATTACTCGAATCTACCGGCTAAGTAATAGTGAAGTTAGACTCAGGGTATTAGGGAATGATGATAAGTCCATTGATGAGCTTGTAAATCTTCATCGACTGAGATGGTTAGGATACGTGTTACATATGCCCGAACACCGATTATCACAACGCACAATACTGACTAGTGTTGATGGTTGGAAGAAAGTTAGGGGTGGCCAAACCGAAACGTGACATCAGTCCTTGAAGACACTAAATTCTGGTCTGAGTCATATTGGTAGATACAGACCACTTGGTTCGAGTCCTTGTGAATCTCGTAACCAATGGTTGGGGACTGTTGATGACGTGACTCAGAATCGATCAGAATTGCGTCGGTGTATACACTCTCTGTCTTCCTTTAAACTGTAAGATTAAAATTGATTTATATCTTTCGTTCCTTACAGAAACAAATATAATATCTGTCTATCTATCTATCCACACATCTATCTATCTATCTATAGAAAATACTATACCGTTGTTATATTCCAGAAATAATGTTCATCTGATAAACGACATGATGATGTTTTCCCAGAACAATAACATTGTAAACATTGTCCCATATAATTGAAATAGCCTTCTTCACATTCATCACATTTTACACCAGTGTATCCAGTCTGATTTTAAAAGAAATAGAAAAGAAATAATGTATTAATGTTAGGAGAAAAGGGATTTTTTTATTACATCATATAATCCTCAATTATATTCTAATGAATATCACTTGAAATTGGATAGGGCATACATTACGAAAATCATCAAACTGCATCACGAAGCAAATGCTAACTTAGAATCCTGAATGGAAACGGAAAAGAAGTAGGCCAAAGGACATACTACATCGAGAATCGGAAGCAGACATGAAAAGAATGGATAGCAACTGGAAAGGATTGCTTAGGACAGGATTGGATGAAGGGTGCTGGTGGGCGGCTTATTCTCCTCGACGAGAGGTAATATGTGTAAGTACAAAAAGATAACACTTTGATTGAAGCCATTCCTGTTTTAATTCACATAACATCATGATACACTAGTGAACCAATTAACATTTTATATGATTCAATAGTGATATAATAATGATGTATTGAACGGACATTGATTTGTGTCAAATATTTACTCTGTAGTTATTGAAGTCAAGAATATCAAGTCTTGTAGTAATTATAATGATCTTAGACCAATGTTTATGAATTCCTGGGTCCTGAGTTCTACTCCCATGAGCGAGATCGTAGATACGCACTGCTAAGAAGTCCTACAATAGGATGAAACGACCGTTCATTGCTTTCAGGTTTTCAATGGTGATCTAACATCAATCGGTTCATGATCTCAATGAACAATAATAATCTCTATAACTCCATACTGAAACTACTCAGTTGATCTTCTGTTCCAGCATGAAACATAATCGACAAATTGCAACTATGATGTGTATGTAGTTAATTTTATACATTCATATTCTTTAAATTATAATACAATGAATGTATGGTACATTTAGTCCGTCAATGATTACACAATTAAACTAAATTCGATTAAAAATCTTAATGGATTGCATAACACTCCGCAATCTGAATGCTTTAAAAGATGAATAATAATTAAATATAGTATGACGTAATAAATAGGGCTACAACATCCGATGACTGAAAGTTTATTGACATAGTACCAAATGACAAGTAGCTAAAGTAAACATGCTCCTCCACGAGGGGTAACAGCCTTGAGTACGTAAGTAAGTAAGTAAGGAAGGAACGAAAGAAGGAAGGAGGAAAGGAAGGAAGGAAGGAAGGAAGGAAGGATGTATGTATGTATTTACGTAATATACCACACTTTTACATTAGTTTTGTGCATGTTTTCAAAATAATTTCAAGTATTTCTAATGGAATAATTCGAATTTATAAGTGTCCATAGCAAGGTTGAACTTGATAGTTTCAAATAAATTAGCCACTCTGAAGAAGTGGCTGACATTAAGTGACGAAACTTCAGAAGTGCTCATTGAGAACAATCTGTGTAGAAGTTTATTTAATTGATTGAATCCAACCGATGTGTTATGCGACAAGTTTATTTGTTTTTCAGTCATCAGTTTTTCATCCATCTGATATTAATCAACATATGGTCACTAGTGACTGGCTTCAAGAGGCATATCCTGGAGTTCTAGTGAGAAGCAGTGACCAGTGGAGTTCAACCAGGTCTGTTGTGAGATAGGAACTCACTGAAGACAATGGTGAATGTGTCGCTCAATTTCGTGGATTAGTTGAAGTTAGACATTAACACTGTTGGATGACGGCCTGTTCAGTGGTCTAGTGGTTAAGTGCTCGCGCGCGGGAAACCAGTAGGTCCTGGATTCGAATCACGCAGAGGGCGAGGTGGTGGATGAACATTGCTGGGGAGTCCCACAATAAGACGAGTTGGCCGACCAGTGCTTCTAGGTTTTCCATGGTGGTCTAGCTTCAACTGACTCATGATCTTAACCATTGAAATTACTATAATATCCACAAAAACCCATCTGATATTAAACAAAATAGTTAAAAATTTGATGATGATAATAGTATTGAAGTATTCTAATTTATATTAACAGAAGGGGTTTTGTAGAGATTTTGGTAATTCCAATAGTTGAGATTATGAGTCAGTTTAAGCTAGACCACTATGGAAGACCTAAAAGCACTGGATGGGCGTTTCGTCCTAGTCTGGGACTCCTCAGCACAAAGGTCAGCGAAGGGATCCCTTTTGAACCTGTTCAATCGTATACATATATATATATATATATATATATATATGAAAAAAACGTTTTTGTTTGTTAAAGTACTAATTCCGTGAGGAAATGTGAACAAACAATAATCAAGATGACGTAATAGAAAGATTACAGTACTAGATTACGTAATATGAATATTAGAAATAGATTTAGTGAATGTAATAAGATGATTACGATCATTACAATAATTGAAGTTCATTAAAGGTCATAGATGTGTAAAAATAAATAAGGTGATAAGTATATAGGAATAAAATAATGAGAATATAAGACATAAGTAAAGGGGAATGCAGTAATAACAATAATAATTAAGGCCAAGGTAACGATAACGCTAGAACGTGCTTCTTTTGTACGCATAGTTCTGGTTTGAACTCATGGATAGTAAAAGCTTCGACTATTTTACTAGGAGTTGGATACGAAGAAATCTCAATAGATTTGAACGAATCATATAAATAACCTTAAAATCAAACTGTGGATCTGTAGAATGATTACAGTCGATTAAGTGTTCAAGTATAGAACTCCTAACTACTTTCCATTCACCCAAACTGGAACATGTTCCCGTATCCGAGTTGAAAGCGAATGCTAGCTACGGCCAATGTATCTTGCTCCATAAGAGCAGATGAACTAGTAGATGCACAAGGAGGTGACCAGATGTGGAAGCTTATCTTTTATGGATACAGAAAATAATTTCCTACTAGTGAAGGTTATTCGCAGTTTTGTTGCATTAAATGTTGTTTTAATTGCTGTCGTTAGGCGATTTTCGATTACGTCAGATGTTCGATCCTCTTTAAATTCTAGACTTATAAAGAGGTTTTTCTTTGAGAAGAAACAACTAGATTTCCTGTCGCAACTAGTTCTATTCATTTTCTTCTCTACGAAACGGTTTGGGTAACTATTTTCCGTCAAGGTTTTCTTGAGGAATGCGAGTTCTTCGTTAATGCACTCCGTATTACATATCCGATGTATTCAATGACAAAGAGTAAATGAGATTTTCTTCTGCTTAAAGCTATAGAATTTGGTTAGCGGGCCATTCCATGTTTGTATTCTAAAAATAGATCTTTTTAATAAACCATTCCTCCTTATCATCAAACGCACATAGAGAAAAGATATTGATCTATCTCTCACACTTTCTAACGTGAAGTCTATAGAAGGGTTGCATGTGATGAAGGTGTAAGATGTCCTCTAATTCAATATTATCGTCACAAACGACAAACATGTCGTCCATGTATCTTATGTACAGATGAAATCGACTAAGCATTGAAATGAATTGGTCGTTTTCCAGTTTTACCATTGAGATCCCATCTGTTCAGGTTTCATACATCTCAAAAAAACAACTAATCAAATACAGATCTCAATAACAAGAATATTCAAACCTTCATTAATATAACTATAGTATTCTTTTCTAAGATAACTTACTTTACATTGACAATCTCCATTATCTGATGTTAATTGAGTTCCATGATAATGACAATCAATTGGTTGTGATTTAGTATCACATTTTGCATCAACTGGTAATTCCTCACCACTATCTATTGCTAATTGACAACGATCACAATTAGGATTTATTAATTTATTATCTTCACTTATTCGACATTTACAAAAATAATCATCATCACCTTGTGGATTAAAGTGACATGTCTTGACAACACTAAAAGTAGAATCAAATAAAAGAATCAATAATGAAAAGGTGTTTTATAGTTGAATTCATGAGTGAATTAAAGCTAGAAAATCATAGAGAACCTGGAAGCACTGGATAGTCGTTTCGTCCCACTATGAGACTCCTCGATAGTGCACATCCACGATCCTGCCTCACGAGATTCGAACCCAGGACCTTTCAGTCTCGTGCGTGAGCGCTTAACCAGTTGACTATATTTTTAATCAATGTTATACTGAATTTATTCTTCACTTATTACATTCATTGTCAGATCATAATGGTTGAAACACTGATGATTTAAATAAAGACAAACTGGTCTAAATTGTCATGAGCCCAACCTAAAGATAGTTTATATCACTAATTAGATAAACAATGAAGAAAAGAAAAGTGGATAGATGTTTTCTCCTCTGATTTTGGAATTCTTTCGTCTTCAATTATAGGGATAGTAGGTTAGTGGAACTGTGTTAATCCTTACAGATTGTTTTCCAGTGAATGTCTAGCTTCTCTTTGAAAATGTTCACTGATGGAGCTGATACCACTTGTTCGGGTAAGGCGTTCCAGTCATTGACCATTCAATGAGAAAAAACTAAACCCACTATAAATGAATTAAATAGCGGTTGTTCAACCTTCTTGCCATGGCGTCGAAGATTATTAGTGCTAGAGGGAGCAAAAAGACACGACGTATTAACAGCCAACTCGTAATTAAAGATACGGAGTGCCAATATGAGGTCATCTCGCGTCCTACGATACAACAAGAGGCAATGGTTTAGGTGTTTTAAGCGCTCGTTTTAAGGGAGTTTGGAAAGACTTCACTAATTTTTTTTCCTACACACTGAACACGCTCAAGCGAGTTAGTATCCTTAATTGAATATGGGTCAACTACCTGGATACAGTACTATAAGTATGGCCTTACGTTAGTGGTCTATAAAACTCGGAACATTTCCTCGTCAAAGCATTTGAATGTTCAGTGAAGTGACAATAGCGCACGAAACCCTTTGGCAGCTTCAGCATTGAATCGCGTAGTTGTTTTCAAGTCGAAACTTACTACTGCCCCTAGTATTTATGTTCCCATCTGCATGGAAGGGATTTACCGCCGATAGTATACTGGTAACTGTTACTGTATCCGACGTGCATAGGTACAATCTTTCTAGAATTGGTTTCTAAGCCCTAACATTGAGACCATGTAATTAATTCGTCTAGGTCAGCTTGAAGATCCGAATAATAATCACTAGCGACTAGCTTCTAGAAGTAATTATGGGAGTTCTAGAGAGAAGTCGTGACCAATGGAGTTCATCTGTATCGGGTGTGAGACAGTTACTCACTGAAGACAATGGAGGATGGTTGCGAAATATAATGGATTGGTTTAGGTCAAACACTAACACCTCTGAATGCTGTTCTACAGGTTAAACGTTTGTGCGCAAGACCGAAGGTCCTGGGTTCAATCCCCACTTTTGGGGTCGTGGATGCGCACTGTTGAGAAGTCTCATACTAGGACCAAACGGCTGTTCAGTGCTTCGAGGTTTCCAGTGGTGGTCTAACATAGATCGGTTCACTATCTCAATTAAATTTTACCAGAAGTATGACAATTGTTCAACCATGACTTTAGAAAATGATTGGATGGTATTATGAATTGACTTAATTTTGATTTGTAAACCATTTTGTTTCAATTTGAGATTGATATGACGGGATGGTAAGGTAAAATTACATTGTTTTAAGTACAATTAATAAGCCGCGTGGATATAACAGAAATGGATTAAATTATCGTGCTATTAACACTTTCGATGAAATTTGATTAGTCTTGGTTGGCATGTGTCATGGATTTTCCTACTAGTGGCATTTCACGAGTCATCTCCTATAGAACTGAGTTCCATACTTAGACAAAACAATTGTAGAGTACTTACTGCTTTCAATGGTTATCTAGCTAAAGTCAGTCTGTGATGTAAGCTACAAAATGAAATTTTTCCCATATATATGATAAACTACTTTAAGTTCCCTCAATGGTCTAAAGCTTCTGCGTTTGCTGAGATAAATGAAAGCCTTGGATTTCATCCACATTGAGATCGTTGATTTATGGTGTTAGGGATTTTCACACAACGTTAGGTCATTTGAGGTAGTCCACAGAGACTCCTAGATCTAGTTTTCATACCATTTGCTACTAATCAACATGGTGTACTTGCCATCTTAAAGGAACTAGTACATTCTGGTATATTCAATCTCGTGTAATCTAACTTTACAGCTCGAGACGTTACTACTGAACTATTCGGGACACGAATCATCTCCTATAGAACTGAGTTCCATACTTAGACAAAACAGTTGTAGAGTACTTACTGCTTTCAATGGTTATCTAGCTAAAGTCGGTCTGTGATGTAAGCTACAAAATGAAAGTTTTTCTATATATATATATTAATTGGAACTTCAATAAAGTGTGGGAAAACAAAAGATTATGATCCTTGGATTTATGTTAGTCGACAAAGCATGGCGTTCCATGACATGCCTAAGTAAATAACATTTAACCAAAATAAAGAATTTTACTCTAAAATGCTCAGTAAATACCACAAATGAATATGTATTTACAATTGATTGATCGCTGGGTGGTGCTCAATGTCATGTATGTCATGTCCTTCTTATTGCAGATCAAATCCTCTCAACCAAGTTGCAATGTGGCCACTAGTCTATGTAACTCAACCTTGCGTGTACTATATTGAGAAAAAGATGTTAGTTGGAGGTAGTCAACAGCATAGCTCAGTATTAACATCTCTGACTGTGAAGCTGGATGACACAGCATCAAATTCATCAAGGAGCATCAAGTCCCTCACGATTACAGTAGCATGAAACCTAGGTCCTATATTTCCATCTTATGAATATATAACATAAGGAGAAATACTGATTACATAATCCTTTTTCTAATTATTTGAAAATTGTAAACATGTGGTATCCAAATTATTCAACATCTGTTAGTAAAATCCCTATTAGAATTACCCACTTATAACTACTTAGGGATAGAATTATTAGTTTCTAAGTTAATTTAATTTTGAATTTATATCCATGTACATAAACATCTTCAATAACTGTATATACATACGACGAAATTAGTAGGAGACGAGGGGGAGGGAGTCAGTTCATTTACAGACACATTAAAACAAAGTAACTTATCACCTAAGTCCCCCCCCCTTACATAAACATTGTTTGTTACTAGCCTACAAATAAAAAATAGATACAGTTTAAAAATAGTTTCTCATCATTTCCTTTTTATGGAAATTGATTTTAATTATTAAATAAATATGGGAAAGAAATCATGGAATTGTTTTACTCCATTTGATTTAACTTGTATTTCCCATATGGAAATAATAAGACAGAATTCCATTCACTTGGTGTTGTTTTTGTTTTTACCCTGTTTCTTCCCATTGTTATTTAGAACTGTACTTTATCATTCTCTTGTTGGCATATATAGATTCTGTGCGTACTAGTTTGATATTGTTCGAAGTCACAAGTTTTATAAGCAAAGATAGATAATGATTAGTAGTCGAATCCAGTTTGATGCGCATTCCATCCCAATTTTTTTGAGACGCATCGTCAGCTGGATATACCTGTATCCCAGAGTTGATGTTCACCTCGGGGACTCGATTCCAGTACTGGTTGCTTTAAACGCTATCGCGTTATCCACTTAGCTACTGAGTCCTGATAGCCACCTGATTATGAAATGGGGTGAAGTTATATTCACTTGATGTTGTCGAACATCAACAAAATCTATGTTTGTTTGTGTGTGCGTCTGTACGTATGTAGTGTGTGTGTGTGTGTGTGTGTGGCTGAATGATTATTAACATGTGAATGTTTATGGGAAAAACAAAGTATTTTCAATTATAAAAATGTCAATGATTAAATATGTAAATGAGTTGGGGTTTTACATTAAACTAGTTTATAGAATGTCTTTTATTGAAGTAATTTAGTTTATGGAGACATACTTGCCGTCGTCAATTGATTAATCTTCAACCTAAGGGGGGAATTTTCTGCTTAATATCAAATCTACTATTGTAATGAACGAGAACATACAAGTGGGGACAATCGATTGTATTTGAATACGAAGTTACACAACGTCTCAGTAAAATCTGAATACCATACAATAGATGTTAATCAATCGTCTCAGACTTGATTGTTCCTTCATTTCCACACTAACCATTATTTGTTCTCGTTCTCTTTTCTTTGATCTTCTTAACCTTCTGTCTCCAAGAGTTACACTTTCGATTGATGATACATACTACTTATATTATCTGTCGACATCAGTAGCCCAAGCCACACTATCAAAATGTGAACAATCTCGCAGGGGTCATGGTCGTGGATGCGCATTGTTGAGGAGTCCCACATTAGGACGAAACGGCCGTCCAGTGCTTCCAGATTTTCCATGGCGGTCATCTACGATCCTGCCTCACGAGATTCGAACACAGAACCTATCAGTCTCATGCGCGAGCGCCTAACTACTGGACCATTGAGCCGGTTATCATTTTACAGTTTTAATGTTTAATACAGTATTCAATTAAAAGTGAATGACACAACATTCATTGATCCTAGATTAGAAATCAAATAACCTATGAGAATAACAAATAACTTACTATGGTAAATTATTTCCACACATATCACATGGTTGACAATCAGTTATTAATAAACTTTTATCTGGTCTATAATAACCATCTTTACATTGTTGACATCTTGGTCCAGCACGTTTTCCTGGACATTCAATACAATTTCCTTCAGTATCACATTTATCACAAGCACAATATGGTCGACATTTTAATGGATTATCAGGATCTTTTTGATAACCCGGTGCACATTTCTATAAATATTAGATAAATGAAAATAGTTGTGATTATTTTAAAGAGTTTTCTAAAGAGACATGATTGAGAAGTTACGATGATGTTTGCCAATGTACCAAATCAAATGTTTTAGTTGAGATGAAAACTATCAATATGATCATCCTTTGAACCAAGTCGTTCATATAAGTAATTGGCCGGCTGGAGCCTATCTAGAGTTACTGCCGGTCCCAAGCCCGGATAAAAGAGTAGGGTTGGACATGGGGTTAGCGAGCCCATCCCGTAGAAAATTAACTTGCTAAAAAACGCTTGAGTTGTGAATAACCTCATAATCTGATATATCGGCTTTGTTTATGGTATTAAGAAAACTGAAGAACAAACACTCATTTATTTTAAAATGTACCTGTTATAACGGTCAGTATTCCATGTCTACACAAATGAGACATTAATTTACCTTAGACGAATATTTACACTAGATTACTAGGTCAACAAGAACCAATCAACACCGAGGTCTACAACACAAGCTATGAACCATATATAGGGAAATTCAAACGCTTCACTTCTGTCTGAAGATTTCTGTTGATGATGTCGTTCAGAAGAACAATGAAAGCTCCACAACCAAACCATCTAGCTCAGAGAACAAAACTCCATCAACACTAGATTCCCTCTCAATGTCTATTCTACAGGACTTCAACACAAATTCCATCAAGAACACTTGATTAGCCTGAGTAGAATGTAAATAGACTTCCACACCGAAAACCGACAACAATCATGGCACAGTCCAACAACAATCAATAATAATAACATAAGGATATGAGAATATGTAACTCATCTAGCGCCTGTCAGACTAAGCAAACAATTAATCATTATCATCCTCAGAAGGAGTTTGTGGAGATTTTAGAAATTTCACAGATTGAAATCATGAGTCAACTGAAACTAGACCACCATGGAAAACCTGGAAGCACTGGACGGCCGTTTTGTCCTAGTATAGGACTCCTCATCAGTGCGCATCCACGATCCCGCACCTCGCGGGATTCATCCTCTCCCACATATCAGAACTTAAATGATCAAGAACATATACCTGATTTAAAACAAAACAATAACGTACAGAGTCTGTTACGTAATCCTGTTTTATTGGAAATGAAAACACAGATCATTAAATTACGTTTAAGTAGTTTTAGAGGTCAAAGTTTCAAGTCAAGATATAAAAGTCTAAGCTTCCATATCTAATGAGCTTGTGAATGTGTAGTGTTGGGGAGTCGGGTACTAGGACAATACAATGCTTTCAAATATTAAGTGATTTCTGTCATGATAGAAATCGGAATGTTTCGGTTAATCAATCTTCATGGTCTATTTAACTTTAATAAAATTTCCTGTAAATAAACGTTTGGATCAGTAATATAGGACTCTTGTTACGGTTCCTGAATAGCAATCTTGGTTTAAATACACATAATTATTTATGATGGTGAGATCCGAGAAAATTCTTCGAGAACGAATTTGAAAACACTAAGAAGTTTCGTCAGAAACATCTAGAACGTGAAAAGTCACATATCAGATTTCTCATTAAATGATTACTTATACTGCTACTATATTTGGTAACATACCAGAATTTTCTGGAAGCTTAAGGCCATCTAAAATATTATAAATATCTTAGATTTTCTGTACATAAATGAAACTTTAGAGTAAGGCGTTTTTCTTTCGTATGTCACGCCTTTTTCTCTCATGTTCCAGTTACTGTGCAGATTTAACCTAGGGGGGTTACTAAAACAGCTTAAGAAACTGAATCTATCATTCAATTAGAATAATACTGATATATATATATATATATATATATATATATATATATATATATATATATATATTTGTACTTGTGAAGCATCATTGATAAATAAGGAGGATCAGATGCACATGTAAAGGTGAGGATTAGCAAAGCGACGGCCGCATTCCTACAATTGAAGAACATATGGAACTCAAAACAACTATCTGTCAACCAATATCAAAGTCAGAATCTTCAACACCAATGTCAACACAGTTCTACTGTATGGAGCTGAAACTTGGAGAACTACTACAACCGTCATCAAAACAGTACAAGTATTTATAAATAGTTGTCTACACAAGATACCATCAGCAACAGCCTTCTGTGCGTAGAACAAACCAGTTTCCAGCTGAAGAGGAAATTAGAAAAAGACGATGGAAATGAATAGGACATGCATTACTCAAATCACCAAACTGCATCACGAGACAATCCCTAACTCGGAATCTTGAAGGGAAGCGAAAAAGAGGAAGATCAAAGAACACATTACGCTGGGAAATAGAATCAGATATTAAAAGGATGAATAACAATTGGAATGAGCTGGAAAGGATTGCTCAGGACAGGGTTGGATGGAGAATGCTGATGAGTGGCCTATGTTCCTTCACGAGGAGTAACAGGCGTAAGTAAGTAAGTGATATATATATATATATGTATATATATAAATTAGATAACATACCTCACATGAAAGACCTTCATAACCATGTGGACATATACATTCTTCAATTTCTCCTACCCATTGTCCTGGTACATCTGATTTAATAGCATGTTCAACTTTTACATTAAATAATTCTAATGTAGTTTGATCTTGATAATATTTTACACGTAAACTAATTTTTTTCACATTACTTAATACTTGCATAAAACCAGATCGACCAATGGTTTGTTCAATTGTATGTTTACATTTATTATCAATATACCATTTATCACGTTCAGTTAATCGTATATGAATTCGATTATCATAACCAGTTGGTATAATATGAACTAATAAACGATCATTTGGTGGACACCAATAAATTGATCGATCTGTTGACTATAAGAAGAAGGAAAAAAGGTGAAATATTTGCATCAGAAAGGGGTTTTGTGAATATGATAGTAATTTCAATAGTTGAAATCATGAATCAATTGAAGTTAGACCATCATGGGAAACTTGGAAGCACTGGACGGCGGTCTCGTTCTATTTTGGGTTTCATTAGCAGTGAGCATTCATGACCCTGTCTCGCAGGATTCAAACCCAGAACATATCAGTTTTCAATGGTGGTCTAACACTCATGTTCTCAAATATTGACATTACGACAATCTCCACAAACCCCTTCTCATACTGATCAACATATGCTTCCTGGTGACTGGCTTCAAGATGTATATCCTGGAGTTCTAGTGAGAAGCAGTGACTAGTGGAGTTCAACTGGGTCTGTTGTGAGATATATACCCACTGATGACAATGGTGACTGTGTCGCTCAATATCGTGGATTAGATGAAGTTAAACATTAACACAGTCGGATGCCGACTCAGTTGTCTAGAGGTCAAGCATTCGCACGGGAAAACAATAGGTCATGGGTTCGATCCACGAAAGATGGGATCGTGGGTACACACTGTTGGGGAGTCCCAAAATAAGACGAGATGGCCTTCCATTGCTTCCAGGTTCTTCATGATGGTCTAGCTTCAATTTAATCATGAATTCAACTATAAAAATTAATTTACATTCGATAATGTTAAACATTAACACCGTTGGATCACAGCTGGTTCAGCGGTCTAGTGGTTAAGCGCTCCTGCGCGAGACCGGTATGTCCTGTGTTCAAATCCCACTGCTAAGGAGTCCCACAATAGGACGTAACGGCTGTCCAATGTTTATACGTTTTCCATGATGGTCTAGCTTCAACTGATTCATGATCTTAACTATCGAGAAAATATTTTAAGTTTGTTTTCTCATTTTTTTTTAGTGAAACCCTTTCATTCATTAGAAGTTCATACGTTTAGATGATAAATTTTCTCAAAACTTTTGTCAATGTCATATACAACACATTTAAATGTTTTTCAACAGTTGTCAGTTGTTCTGGTTTGTTTATAAAATTTTCTACCTGGTAACAGAATTCTAAATACATTCACTGGCATATAATTTGAAAAAAAAACATACCATAGAAACATTCCATAGAAACAGATATGTGTGTGGTTTTCACAATTTCTGCTTCTTAATTATTATTATTTTTTTGTCTTTTTTTAAAATGAACGAACCAATCAGATTTAAGATAATAGATCTTGAATATTTGGCGCGAAATTCTTTCAATTTGGCATGATAGATCATGTTAGTTCATGATGATTAGCTTAAATCTATTACCTAAACTTAACTATTAACTATCAACTATACTATTAATCCTTTTTCATTAGTTTATCATCCTTGTTTAGTCTTTAGTTCGTAGATGATGTTGCTTAAATGTCATCCATTCAGTATAGTCTCATTACAAAAACGAACAAAACTATTTGTAATAAATAGAATTCCAAATGGTTGTTTCATTCATAAAAACAAAAGAGATTCGTTATTAAAGAAACTTACATTCAAGATAATAAATGGTCCAGGAAGATAATTTAAACTTTCACCAAATAGACGAAGATTTAATATTATATCATATCCATAAGATTTCACCTAGAATTGTAAATAGAGTGGTGTATTAGATAATGAAAATTGTCATAGAAACGTTTTACTATTGGTTTTGCCCCCAAATACCCTGATATGTCCGAGAGTGGCATGGGCCCGACCTCCCTCTCGAAATGCTCTTACACGGCCACGCGCATACAGCCTCTGACAAGGAAGTCCTACCCACTGCCTTCTCGTGGCGGGGGTGTTGTTTACGAAAATGAGAGGACGAAAAGTGAATGTCCGGCTCTTTAACCAGATCCCAAACCAAATCAATGGTGCACATGGGCTCCAGTATCCTGAAGGAATAAATGGTGTATGAACCTAATGTTGGTCACAGGCTACCATGAGACTGCATCTTTTGACGTTGCTTCATTGCCTTTTGGATCATACCTTCGGATATGGCCCCCCTAAGAAAACTACTTGTTTCGGTTTGAGCACCCGAGAAGTATTCCAGCCCTTACAACAAATCAAATGATTTATGTGGCGCCTATCTATTTGGTGCCTCCTTGTACCAATATTTATGTGTTTAAATAAATAAATAAAAATCATACTCATTACATTATCCACTTTATTATCAAAAGAAGTAAATAAAATACACTTGGTATTGTTTGCTTGTATGTATCAAGATCCAGTATCTAAGTGAATAATGTGATGACGTTTGAAGAGAACGGTACTTGGTTCGAGTCCCATAGTGAACATCAACTCTGGAATACAGGTACATCAGCTGACGAGTCTTGAATAGGACGATACACACATCCTGATTCCACTGTTAACCACCATCCATCTTTGCTTATGAAGTATATAAAAGTTTATCAGTTTAAATAAAAGCTGTCTGAACTTTTAGATGGGAAACTAGTTTGGAAAATATCTTGTAAGATAATCATTATAATTTTTATTCCCTATTTGCTGTAATTTAGATAACGGATCCACTATGTGGAAGTATATGTGAGTCTGATTAAATGTTTACCTGTACCTCAATCTTTCTACCCTCTTATTTGTTGTCAACGTATCGATTAATACTCATACAAGCGAACATAATCGCTGACTTCTCAGTGTGTAAGCTTATCGCTCGTTTGCGAATTTTGTTAATTATTAATAATACGGGGTCAAATCAGTCAGGGAACATCAGTTCTCGTCAAGATTACACGTACATCTTGCTGACGAGTGTTAAATAGCATGAAACCTTGTTCCATGGTTTTCGGTCAACTATTTGAAATCACCATCTCATCTCAACACGGTACATGCGATTTTCAATCATCCAAACTAGTGGTCACATTGCAACTTGGCCGATAGAGTTCGATTTGCACTAAGTAGCACCTAATACACGTTAACATTGACCACTATCTAGCGACCAATTAATTGTAAATTATTGATAATTCACTTTACTCCAACATTTCATGTTCTGGTTTCCAGATATTCTTGAGTAAATACATAATGATACTAGGAGAATTGGTCTAGAAATATATCAGGTTATCGGGACATTATATTGTGGAATCATCTAGAGGAGTTAACCTCTACAGTTTGACAAGAGACCTATCATAGTACTTTTAATTTCATTGCTCCATGAACTACTTTTATTTACTTCTCTCCAGTTGTAGATGATTGATAGTTTGCCTTGAATTTGCACTAAAATCACTCTTTACTATGGTACTCATGATACTCAGAGGATGATGTCACTGAACAGTTAGTGATGTAAATAACTCTATAGTCTAAATAATCTTAGTGAAATTTCCAAGAATACATACCTCATTTCTAATCATTAGTATAAATGTATTATTATTTAATTCAATAAACTGAAAATAGAATAAACAAAGATGAATGGTAACTAGCAGTGAAATCTAGGACGTGCACTTCTTCGTCCTATTTGCGACTCATTAGCTAGTTGTATAAAATGTACAGTTAGAATACAACCTATTGAGTAGAACTATCATTCTGGTTAATGAAAGACAGGTAAATACAATACTAATTCATACCTTAAAGATGTCATATTAAGAAAGGAGACAATAACATGCTATTCAAGTGTATAAAGTAAAGTTCTTTGATTAGTAATTTCTTTCTGTATAGTTCAAACATTTATATAAACAACAGATGACATATGTGAATAGTGGTCTCTTCCAAAGAATCTATTTCCTCTCATTTCATATACACTTATAAGTTAATAGTCGACTTTAACACAAAGTAATCAATGCCGTTCATAGTACTTTAAATGGATATACTGAAGACAATCATCTCAGTCAGTCAGTCGGTCAGTCAGTCAGTAACAACATAGAACTCCGTACGTACGTACATCAGTTCAAGTTGCCATACCACATTAACACAGAGATAGAAACGTCGATTCAAATCCCGTAGTGGTAGAGGCGGTAAGAGTATAAGCAGTAATCGGTAAGATTAGGGTTTGAAGATGTTGTCCAAAGTTTATAAACCAGGGAAATAAATTTGAAAAGAAAATAAGGGACATGAAGAATTCAGAAGATTAGAATATGGGAGAACACAAAGAGTGAATGCACCTGCACCATTGCAAACGATTTTGAGCCATGTCATTCAGGGTCTCTCACCATCGGTTGCTATTGTCTCGCGGATCCCAACCAGGTAGTCTACACCTACCAACATGACTCAGTCCACTTGTCAGTGACTTCATGAATTTGTGCCCTGTTTTGGTCTAACCACCCCTAGCCTCCTTCCAACCTACTCCTACATCATAAAGCATCGCACATCGAGGCAGTCGGCGGTTGGGCATACGTAACACATGTCCCAGCCACCTCAACTGATGAAGTTTCACTACTTCATCAATTGATTTGCCATCCTTACCAAGTACCCTTTTCCTAACAACTGTGTTACTTACTCAATGGTCCCAGAATATAAGAGCAATATTTCGAAGACACCTATGATCAAATACTAGTAATCTACGAATATACAATCATCTCAACATTCAATGATTTAATAAGCATTATGCAATCTGAAATAATGATTAGTGACAATAATCATAATAATACAAATGTGTAGAACTAACCCATGAACCTGAAAGATTAAAATCACTTTCAACAAATGTTGCTTCATTAGGAACATCAGGTATACGAAGTATATCTCCGTCGATTTCAGTTACACCTTGACCTTCTTCAACACTTCCATCTTGATTATATGTACTTAATATGATTGGAGTTGTTTTATAGTCGAACATTAGATCATGCTATCAATAGAAAAATAAAAATAAAAATATGAATGGAATATAAATTCACTTGATGTTGTTTGCTTGTATCTTCCCAATTCTTGTTAAGGATCGCAATTAATCAATCTCTTGTTGGTATATATACATTCTGTGCGGATTGCCTCGATATTACTTTAAATCACAAGCTTTATAATTAAGGATGGATAGTGGACAACAATGGAATCCATGACGCGTGTTTCGTCCCATTTGAGACTCTTCAGTTGGACGTACCTATCAATCCATTGTCTCAATGTTGACTGTTTCTTTTGTAAATATCAGTCCATCATCTCAGATTTCATTGTTCGTACATTTTCATATGAATTGTTTTCCGTTCCCATCCCTTTTCGATCTTCTACTGAAATACATTCTATTCATTACTATCATTATATACTACTTATGTGTATATAAGTAGCTCACAATACACTGTCATATACCGATATATACACATTCATCAACTGTCCAATTATTCCTTTTCGATGAAAAGAGAAATGCATGTAAAACTATGAAAAATATGATAAACTTATATAACTGTGTTTAATGATCACAAGTATGACTGGTTTTTGATAAAGAAACAGTTTCGTTGCCGTGACAATAAGTTTATTTTGTTTTTATTATTTCATATATTGATAGAAACATTCATCAGGTATTAAAATCACTTCAAGTAGTTAAGTGGTGACCAACTATACATGATCATTCATAAGTGATATGAAATAATTAAATCTTTTTTAAAATTTTGTCACTAATGAAAATTAATTTTAATGATTGAATTAATGAGATCATTATGGAGAACTTAAAAGTACTGAATGGCACTGTATATTCACAATCTCACAGATGAGACTCGAACTCAACACCTTCGATTTAATACATCAACGCTTAACCTCTAAACTACTACTACTACTACTACTACTACTACTACTACTACTACTACTACTACTACTACTACTACTACTACTACTACTACTACTACTACTACTACCTTTCAACAGTTTCAATATCTAACTTCAATCTAGCTTAAATTGATTCAGGAAAATACCACAATCTACACAAATTCCAATTCTAATAAAAGAAAACTGTTACCAACTGAATATTCCATCTATAAATTCCTTTAATAGACCAGTGTAATTTAGATATATTTTTCTCTTTTTTTTCTTACGAATTGAAACCATATGTTTATATTATTTCTGTCTGAATTATTTTAACCATACCTACCTACCTACATACATACATACATACATACATACATAGCTATCCACCTACCTATCCACCTACCTACCTATCTACCTACCTACACATCTACCTGTCTACCTGCCTACATGCCTACCTACATACCTACATACCTAGCTACATACATACATACATACATACATACATAAGAATTTACACATGTTTATCAAATATACTGTAAGAAATCTCAGAGTACATTCAAAATTGAATAATGTAAACTGTATTTATTCCTTTGGGACATAATAATAATAATAATCCTAATTGCATTTTTCTATTTTCTTTTAGTATAATTTTTCTTTGAGATTACAACACATGGATGTATAGTGATTAGATAATCAAACAAATAAGATAAACAAATATAGTTTATTATCAGAAGGGGTTTTTGTTGTGGAGATTTTAGAAATTTCACAGATTGAAATCATAAGTCAATTGAAGTGAGACCATCATGGAAAATCTTTAAGCAATGGACGGTCATTTCGGAGTTCAACCAGGTCTGTTGTGAAATAGTAACTCACTGAAGACAATGATGGATTGATTGAAGTTAGACATTAATACCGTTGAATGCTGGTCGGTTCGGTGGTCTAGAGGGCAAGTATTCATGAACGAAACTGATATGTTCTACGTTTGAATCTCGCGACCTGGGATCGTCGATGAGCACTGATGAGGAAACGGCCATCCAATGCTTCCAGGTTTTTCACGTTGATCTAATATCAATCGATTCATGATCTCAATCAATATCATATATTTCCTATTAATACTTTGTATTTATTCAAACTCTCATTGAACTGAATTGATTAAAATATAAATACAGTTGAATGTGAAAGTGTAGATGCTTCAGAAAATATCTAGGACTTTTGAACATAGACCAATTGTAATTTTGATAGAGTTTTGTTCTCTGAACTGAAAATTCTATCTAAAGTTTGTGTTGATGATGTCGTTCAGAAGAACAATGAACGATCTACGACCAAACTATCGAGTTCAGAGAATAAAATTCTATCAAAATCATCCAACTGAGCTACAAATCTTCATCATTATTAGTTGTACTATTAAATCCAATAGAAATAGAATAACCGATTGACTTCAGTAGAGATGAAATTCTTTAGACCAAAGGTTTACATACATCAATGAATTTAGTGCAATTAACTGAAATATGAAATTTTTTTTAGATTAGTAAATAAAGGGAGACGAATATTGTTGTGTAGGGCCCTAACCAAATCACTCGATAGTTTGGTTACTGAATATCGAACAATTCATCGATCCCTGTCAAGGTCGAGGACAACCAACGCGCATCAGTTAATTGTATGTCATGGACTGACGCATGCCGTCGTGGTCTCGCTATCTTCACTGTACTCATTCTTACTAATATATTTCCTTAACATTCTTCTTTGTGTTATACAGTCTTCAAAGCAACCATATCACTTTGATACGTCGAAGGAGTAATTCACGTTAGATGTTGACATCAAAGTGTGATCTCTAAGTTAACTGGTTTGTCACACCATTCCCGTCTAACTTGAGTAGGCGTACAATCATTCGATATAGATCATCTACCATAGTGATCTACAGTTTGTTAACTCCTATATCCATTGATATCATTCAGTAGTAATGACATCAGAAAAATTGTACTTTTAATGTTAAGTTAGTTATTATGTTGAAATTTGTTTTCAACCTTTTAAAAAAATTAAACAAGTAAATAGGTAATGATAAGTACTTTTCTGTCAACATATATTTTGACAGGTCCAATTGATTCTCAACCACTTTTCGTTTTGTCATAATGACTAATACGACCATGACTAAAGCTTAAAAAGGTCAAGTTTCTTTCTGAAATGGATTTCATTTTATGCATACATATATACATTTTCATATGGTACAATGTCACATCAAGTGAATTACATGTTAATTATGAATAACAATCAGTAATTAATCATGACCAATTCTGCCTGGAGTCCCTGTGGGAACTACTGCCGGTCCCAAGCTCAGATAAAGGAGGAGGGTTGGGCATGGGGTTAGCGACCCCATCCCGTAGAAAACTAACTCGTTAAAAAAACGCTAACCAGAAATAATTATTGAAACGTTTTAAACTCTGCCCTGGGAATCAGAAGGTCTTCATCTAGAAGAACTACGATGCCTCATGGTGAAAGCCGAGTTCCTTCGGAAGTCACAAGGCCGATGCCCCTTTTGACAACGAGCGCAACCAATTATTTAGGTACATGGGATGCTCGTACAAGGTGGGAGACCAGGAGAGTTTTCCGAATTGCTGCAGAAATGAGGAGATACGACCTAGAGGTGCTTGGGATCAGTGAAACACATTGGACGAAAGTTGGACAACAATGACTAGCTTCAGGGGAGATTCTGTTATACTCCGGCCATGGAGAAGAAAATGCCCCACATACAGAAGGGGTTGAATTGATGCTGCTGTCCAATTAGTCATAATTCGATAATTGTTTGTTACGGAATTAAACATCCTCAAATATAACATAGAGAATACCAACCCAATCATACTTGATGAAGAAACTTTGGAAGAGGTGGAAACTTTCATGTACCTGGACAGCATCATCAATCAATAAGGAGAATCTAATGTAGACGAATAGGCCAGGATTGGCAAAGCAAGGACAATATTCCTACAGTTGAAGGACATATGGAAAATCAAATAGTTGTCTACCAGTCAACATTAAAGTCAGAATCTTCAATACGAATTCTATTGTATGGAGCTGAATATTACTGAGCTACTACAACCATCATCAAAAATGTACAAGTATTTATAAACAGTTGTCTATACAAGATACGCAATGTCCGTTTACTGGATACCATCAGCAACAGTCTACTGTAGAAGAGAACAAACCAGCTTGGACCTGAAGACGAAATTAGGAAAAGATGATGGAAGTGGATGGGCCACACATTGAAGAAATCATCAAACTACATCACGAAGCAAGCCCTAACTTGAAATCCTGAAGGGAAACAGAAAAGTTGAGGGTCGAAAAACACACTACGTTGAGAATTTGATGCATACATGAAAATGATGATTAGCAACTAAAAAGGATGGAGACTATTGGTGGATGGCATATACTCCACGATGAGGAGTAACAGACGTAAGTAAGTAAGCAAGTTATTACAGAATTGTTTTTGCCTATCTTTGATAATTTCTATTATTTACCTTATTAATAGCTAAAAGTAATATTCAATTCGTTAATTGGGTATAATTTAATCCATGTCTGTGCTTATATTCCCACATGAATGTAGAACTTATCAAGTAAACTACTGAGTATCCATATCGATATTATTCTTCATTTCATTAGTTACTGTGAGTTAATAAACTAAAATGTATGGTCTAGTCACATTTTCGAACCGTTATTAGATTTGCCCAACTATTTTACAAAAAGAAATATTATGCATGTAATTTGAATCAAACTAATTCTCAGCACAGCTTAACAGGATGTACATTCTTAAGTCCATTGATGATATTTCAAATATCCGTCACTCCGAGATCATGAGCCGATTGATGTTAGACCATCATTAAAAACCTGGAAGCATTGGACGGCCGTTTCGTTTTATTGTGGAACTCCTCAGAAGTGCGCATCCATGATCCCGTATACGGGACTCGCACGCGGAGGAGGAGGAGGAGGAGAAGGAGAAGGAGTATTCCCATATAAACAACTTTAAAATGTCAATTTTAATGAAAAAACAAATCTTACAGGTGATTTTCGATAACCTTTTACACTTGTACATTTATCTGTTACATTTGAACAATAACATGTTAAACACATATCATCAAACCATGCAGCATCATTAAATTGTGGCGCTTTACAAATACCACCTTCTGTAAATGTAAAGAAAGAAAACAATATGCAGAAGTATATATTAGAATTGCTTTAAATTGAAGTAACTATACATTATTTATTGAGTTGAACACAGAGATATTGGTACAAAAGGGCATCGAATACCATATGCGCCATACAAGTCACTTGATTTGTATGTAGGCTATGATACTGTTCGGGTGCCCAGACCGAAACAGTTGGTTTTCTTAAGGGGCTATATCCGGAGCCTTTGACCTAAATGTTTGATCTACATGACAGTGGAGCAACGTTAGGAGATTCAGTCCTATAGTAGCAGGTGACCAACAATTTGTTCATACACCATTTTTTTCCCTTCAAGATCCTGAAGCTCTTGTGTACCATTGATTTGAAATTAGAGTTTTCTAACTCCCTTTAAGTGATCATTTTTAAAAAGATTAAATTTGTCATTTTATAGCTTTCTGTATTGTGTAAATGTTGTTTTAAAAGTACAATAATGAGAATCAGACTGTCGGTGTGATGCTAGTCGGATAAGGACACAATCTTGTTAATGTACAGATTTACTAAAAGACTTTTAGTGTCCAATTAACGTTGTTGCTGTATCGCACATGTCTGATTAACTAACTTTTATCCAGTCTGTTTCTGCTACACTTTTATAGTAACTGAACAGTATTTAAGATGGTAGTTGGAGGTAGTCGACAGTAAACCATGGACATAGGTTTTGTGCTATTTGGAACTCATTAGCAAGGTGTACCTGTAATCTTAAATGAACTGATGCTCTCTGACGGATTCAATCTCACACACATGACATTGGTCACCACCCAGTGATCGATCAATTGTAAATATATATCAGCCCTACAGGAGGTCAGTTGTGGTCCGGATAGCTCAGCGGTAACGTTTCTGACTGTGAAGCTGAATGGCACAGGTGTGCCAAATAGCATGAAACTTAGGTTCACTGTTTACTATGGACTACCTGCAACCACCATCTTATCACAACATAGTGCACGCAATTTCGAATCACCTAGACTAATGGCCACATTGCAACTTGGTCGATATAATTCGATCTACACCAAGAAGGACCTGACATATATGACACTGATCACCACTACTAACAGGATAAAATGTTTCTAAGAGATATTAAGTTTCATAATGGTTTGATCAATATGAAGCGTAAACTATCTACACATGAAAATGCCATCAACTACATACATGAAAATAGACCTGTCACAATAGTTTTATAGTTGTTGTCCCGTAAACTCTGTTTTCCTTTCCTGTAGTCTAATTGTAGATAATTATAATTACTCTGTAACTGCACTGAAATCTCTTATGCATAAACTATTCTTCATCTTCCTTGTTTTTTCTCTTTCTAAATTTATTTCATTGGATTATACTGCTTGAATATCATCTTCAGATCCTAATCATTCCTATTACTACTTATACGTTTACTACCTGTACTACTATGAGATTTGAATTGACAATTGTATCTATGTGCTAATGTGACGAATTCCACTCAATTGATTGTTTGAAGATGATCCGTAGTGTCGTAATTTGGTCTGTGCACGACCGATCCCTACGGAATCCAACTTGTTGATCTCGAAGCTGGGCGTCTATTGCGTCTTGCATCCGGTCCAGCAAGTTGAACTGATGTACGTACGCATGAAGTTCTATGTTGTTGCTGATTGACTGATAGGCCTTCTACAATCATTTTCGGAATATAATTTATTTTACTATTGGAACGGGTTTTGTGGATATGATAGTAATTTCAATAGTTGAGATCATGAATCAATTGAAGATAGACCACCATGGAAAACCTTGAAGCACTGGACGGCAGTTTCGTTCTATTTTGGGACTTCTCAGCAATGCACATCCACGATCCTGCCTCGCGGGATTCGAACCCAGGATCTATCTAGTACTGTTGTCCAGTGCTTCCAGATTTTCCATGGTGAACCTCAAACAATAGATACTACTTGTTTGAGAATACAATATCAAACAGTCTTTTAACGAATTCTTAATCATCATTAAGAGGCAAATTGAAAAATATATATACATCAAAACTTACTAGCTACATTAACTAAAAAATCTGGTGCTAATGCACGACCACGATTCACAGCTTCACATGTATATAAACCACTTGCACGTGATTCCAAATCGTATAAAGTTAAATGACTTATTGCCATATTACAATTTATAACTGTATAATTAATAGAATGTTTTACACCTTCTCTTAAATGTCCCCAATTATATCTCCAACTTATAGTAGGAGGTGGTCGACCATACGCTACACATGTTAAAGTTAAATTTTCTGATTGATGACCTATTAAATGTGTTTCTCCAGATGGTTCAATGATACTTGGATAACCTGGAGAGTTAAAAAAATAAAGAATTTCACTTGTTTACTTTGAATATTTTCAAAAAAAACTGAGGTAATTATTTCGTCCCATTTGGGACTCATCAGTTGGATGTAACTTGAATTCCAGAATTGATGTTCACTTTGGCACTCCAACCCAGTACCGTTCGCTTCAGACTCTATCACGTTATCCATTTAGCTATTAAATCCCGATGGTCACTAGCTTGTACAATCGGGTAAAGTTTTAAATCATTTTTTATTGGTTGCTTGAATCTTCCCATTGATGTTTAAGACTGCGATTGATCACTCTCTTATTGGGATATATGCATCCTATGATGATTGCCTCGATACTATCTGTTTATAACTTAAGGTAATATCGAGGCAATCTTCACAAGATGCATATATCCCAATAAGAGAGTGATCAATTAGTGTTCTGGACTTAACTGGCTGTGCTAGGCGAAAAGCAGGATTAATCAGGACTCTAGGCTGCTTGCACTTGTTTTACGCGTCCTTCGTCCGATCGATAAATCATTGTTCTCTAATTGACGGTATCATTACGTTATTTATATATTTTGATAGAGGCACAAGGCCACAAGTTATAACAAGAAGGAGATTGATAAATTGATAGACGTCAGTTAACATGTTGGACTGTTGTGACATATTCTGAAATGGTTTGTAATTTCATCTTGAAAAACAATAAATCATACTTAAGCAGAATGATTGTTGATTAGTTAGGAACAATATAGAAACACTTGATCAATTATCGTTTATATCACTTTTCAAACAAGGTTACATAATTGAAATGTACTAACTCATTAGCTAACTTACTGCATTCACTTTCATCATCTCCGTTTGGTTCACAATCTGGCACTGAATCACACATAAATGCTCGAGCTATCATTTTGTCACCTTGTGGACAAGTATAATGTGTACCATTGCATTGATCATAAACACTTGGTGCTAACAGTAAATGAAGAAGATATAACTTGAAAAAGTGACACATATATATTACTAAACATGTATGTCGATTAAAGATTATTTATGGAATGACTACTGAAATAAACAGCTGTATCAAGATATCTTTGAAATTTACTCTTGTTATATCTATGGATATCCACGAAGTTGCACCACCGTACACCATTGTCTTCACTGAGCTGATATCTCACAACAGATCTCAACCGGGTCTGTTATGAGATATCAGTTCACTGAAGACAATGGTGTATGGTGGTGCAACTTCGTGGATTGGTTGAAATTAGACATTAACATCCATTGGATGCCGGCTCAGTTGTCTAGTTGGTTAAATGCCTGGCATGAGACTGATAGGTCCTGGGTTCGAATATCGCGGGTTGCGGGGTCGTGGATGCGCGCTACTGAAGAGTCCCATAGTAGGACGAAACGGCCGTCCAGTGCCTCCAGATTTTCCATGGTTCATCAATGTACATTTTATGTGCTAACAACTTTATGAAAAACAAATCAATATTGGAACTCCTGAGGTCAGTCTTAAATAATTACTTTTGAAATGTACCATGAATGTCCATTTTGTCTTTAATAACACATATTATAGACAAATTGATGGTATAGCAATGGGTTCACCTCTAGATTCTATCTTTGTGGATTTTTTTCTTACGAAACTAGAAAACAAAGCTCTCAAAGAGGTTATCAAGAAGCTCGAATTCTACTGTCGTTACCTTGATGACACTTTCATTATTATCGATCAGAACAGTTAGAAAGAAGAACTACTGGAAGTATTTAATAACAAACATCCAGCAATTACATTTACATGTGAAGAGGAAATAGATAATAAATTAAATTTCCTTGACGTATTGTTAAATAGAAAAGAAAGTGGTTCTATCAGTAGAAGTGTGTTTAGGAAAAGTTCTTCATCTAGCCAGTACACACATTTCTTAAGCTTTGTAACCCTTCATTATAAGAGAAACTTAGTCAAATGTCTGGCAAATAGAGATATGCTCAGTTGATACAATTAACAAGAAATTAGTGCTCATTCATAATATTTTGATTGAAATGGGTTATTCACAGGGTTTCCTGGAGAAATACTTGCGTGTAACAAATAAGAAAATAGCGACGTCAACGGCTAGTAAGAAATCTCTTTTCTTGAAGCTACAATTCAATGGAGATGTAGCTAGTGATGTATTACGTGATAGATTGACTAGAACAGTAAAGAGAACGTTTAATGCTAACAACTTCTGTCTATCGTATTCGATCCGATCTATGGTGATTCCCCAACTAAAGGATAAGTTACCTGGTTATACCACTTCTATGTGTATTTACGAATTCATCTGCTCCTGTGTAGAAAGCTATGTTAGGCGTTCTACCAGACAACTGAACCAAAGAGTTAGTGAACACCTCCCTTCATGGTTAAGAAAAGGTGCTATCAAGTCAATGTCAATCGTAAAGTTATAAGTTAAGATTTGAGAGCATTCAGCTCTCTTTTTAAAACTTATTATATATTCCTCCATCGTCAAAAAAAGTTCTTCGATCTAAATTCATCAGAAATGGTAACATTTTCTATTTGTAGTGAACAAGAACACACAAGTGGGGACAACCAAAATCTATTGGAATACATCATTATGGAATCTCTTAGTGAAATCTGAGAACCATACAGTAAATACTTTATTTACAAAATGTCAATCAATCGTTTCACACTTCATTGTTCCTTCATTTCCACACCAATCATTCTTTGTTCTTGTTCTTCTTTCTTTGTACTTAACCTTTTACTGTCAGATATTTCACTTACCATTGATAATACATACTACTTATATCATCTGTCAATATCAGTAGTACACATCACATTATCACATTATTTAGTTATGTAAAGTTTTATAAAATACATACAGGATATAATTTTACTTACCAAGACAATTAGATTCATCATAATTATTACCACAATCATCTTCACCATCACAATGCCAAAATTGTAAATAACAATTTTTCAATGGTTTCACATCATTCACAATACCACAAACATTTTCATTGACACCACATTCACCTATGAATTATGTAAGGAATAAAAAAAATGTGAATCAATAACCATTATATTATGTTGGAAAGTAAGTGAATACAATTACAATTCCATATGATGAAACGTTTGGATATGGAGTGATCAAAAGTATTCGAATGATTATGAGATTAATAACGGAACCTTATCTGAAGGTATTTTCACATTTGAAATGTACTACTAAGGAGATGGATAGCGGCTAGCAATGGAATCCAAGGTGAATATTTCATTTTATTCGGGACTAGTTAGCTGGATGTACCTGCATCTCTCAGTTAATGTTCAGTTCAGGACTTAAATCCAGTACTATTCAATTCATAAGCTATAATGTTATTCACTTAGCTACTACCTATCAGAACTCAGTAGCTAAGTGAATAACGTGATGATGTTTGAATTAAACGGTACTAGGTTTGAGTCCCGAAGTGAATATCAACTCTGAGATGCAGGTACATTCATCTGACGAGTCCTGAATAGGACGAAATACACATCCTGGATCTCACTGCTAGCCACTATCCATCTTTGTTTAGAATGCTTGTGAATTAAGATAATATTGAATCAATACGCACAGTATGTACATATGCCAATAAGAGCCTGATCAATTGCAGTCAGAAACATCAATGAAAAGATTCAAGTAAACAATAACAATAACTGAAGTATATAACTAAGAATTTGAAATGCTCCTTGTGTTAGGTGTTAAGAATCATAAAATGATTTCATATCTGATTGTATATTACACTATCCTTTTGTCATTCATATTTATAACCTTTTCTATGGCAAATATTCGAACAAATTAATGGACGATACAACTATTTCCATAAAATTGACCTCTTCCGTAATTATCAGAAGGGGTTTTGTGGAGAGTTTGAGAGATTTCACTAGTTGAATTCATGAGTCAATTAAAGCTAGACCACCATTGAAAACCTGGAAGCATTAGACGTCCAATTCGTTCTAGTATGGGACTCCTCAGCAGTGCGCGTCCACGATCCCGCACTCCGCGAGATTCGGACCCAGGACCTACCAGTCTCGCGCCCGGCTCTTAACCATTAGACCACTGGGCCGGACGGTATCCAACTGTGTCAATGTCTAACTTTAACCAATCCACGCAGTTGCACCACCGTACACCATTGTCTTCAGTGAGTTCATATCTCACAACAGACCTGGTTGAACTCCACTGGTAACGGCTACTCACTAACAGCGTTGGATGCCGGCCTGCTCAGTGGTCTAGTTGGTCAAACGCCGGGCGTGAGACTCATAGGTTCTGGGTTCGAATCTCGCGGGGTGCGCGATCATGGATGCGCACTGTTGGGGAGTCCCATACTAGGATGAAACGGTCTTCCGTAACTGTCAAATCCTCTTTCTCTAACTATCTAGCTATGTATACAAATTAGGGAGTAATCTGTAATTATCATCATTATTATGATTATTAGAATACGAAAATGTAAGTCAATGGATTTTGGTTGCTTAGCTAAACTGATTTATGTCAGTTATGAGTTTTACACAATCATCAGTTTATTTATACGCGTAATGAATGTACATTCAGATGGGGGACAACCAACGTATTTTTAATACGAAATTATAGAATATCTTGGTCAAATATATGAACCATACATTGAATATTTCGTTTGGACATTTTCATCATTTGTCCTTCACATTCTGTATGATTTTTCAAGTTCATAATTCCTTTCTATTTCCCTTTCTTTTCTTCTCAACCTGATCTTTTTAGCCCTCTTCAACCAGGTTTTCCACTTCTAATTGGAGCTACATACTACTTATGTCCACAGGTATAAGTAGCATACATCACATACTGTCTATTCACGAGTTAGAAGTCATGATAAAATAAATGTCTATATTTCACTAACTTTCAAAGGTCACTCCGTGAACCGAATCTTGATGAACTAGTCCGAATTGTAAACGTGTTTGTTGATTCATAAAATGAAATAATTATTATGGATAGAAAACATTTAACTTACTACATTTTGAAGGAATTTCATCATAACCATCTTCACAATCCACTACTCCATCACAAAATTTTGTCTCTTCTAAACATTCTTGTGAACCACATGGTCGAAATCCTGGTGCACAAACTTCTTGAACGTATAGTTTTGCATAACCTTTGCTATACTTTAAAAGTTTACATGAAATCAAAATAGTTAAAGCATGACAGAAGTTAAATAGTTTTGTACTTTAGGAAAACAATTTAATTACAAACAAAATATAATCATTCGTTTTGTGTCAGGGCTCGAATACTGCCAGAGTGCCCAAACTGAGTCAGGTGGTTCTCTTAGGGGGTTACACCTGGAGCCTTCTACCAAAAGGTATGATCCACAAGGCAATGGAGCAGTGGGTGACTAACAATAGGTTCACACGCTATTTGTTCCTTTAGGGTCCTAGAACCCATCTGCACCACTAGTTTGTAATCAGGGTTTTCAAACTCTTCTAAGTGGATCCTCTGTGTCCATCAACCTGGTTAAAGCGCCGAATATTCGCTTTTCGTTCACTCATTTTCGTAAGCAACACCACAACCGCGAGAAGGCAGTGAACAGAACTTCCCTGTCAGTGGTTGTATGCATGTGCCCATATATAAGCATTTCGACACACACACACACACAGAGTGGACTCTCCCCACTCTCAGCTATACCAGGACATTTGGGCGTATGAAATCACCAGGCAAACTAAAGGAATTCAACATAATACTTTATATGAATACGTGAATAATTTTCAATAAAAATGATTATCCTCTGATTATGTAAAGATGATACACACAATAATGAACAGAGCACAACAAGATATAAGCTGAATTTTCGATATCAGGTAATAGACAAGTGTCGTTGCTTCACTAAAAATAGGCACCTAAAATATGGTAAGGATTAGTTTGTTCATTTATAAAGAAAAGTAATGAGATTGTAGTAAGCCCATTCCACTACTGTATTATTTATCTGTTCACTGTCGTTAAGACACTTGATCCACCATGTAATTTTCTGTGGGAGTCTGATTGAGCACATGTGAATGTTTAATCTATTCTCCCATTTGGTTGTAATACACACAGATAATCAATAATTTATCCATACCTGATTAACACTCATAAAAATATATATATGGAATTTCAACACACATACACACTCTTTGTTACCCTGTGTGCTTGCGGATTTTACCAATCTTTAAACAATAAACTATCTCTATAACTGGTCTTCAGGCTTTTGAATAATCTCGAGTAAATCCATAATCCTACTAGGAGATTTAGCCTGCCTTAAATACTCAGTTAACGCGATATCATTTATTGGAGTCAGATATAGAGGAAACTAGCCTCTACAAGACTAATGTTGATATGTGCAGCTGATTGACATTCATATGGAAACCTTTACTCAATTGCTAATAATTATGACTAAACTTTGAATATCAGAAAGAATATAAATGAATGAAATCATTAAATGAAGTAATTTTTAGCCTTTCTCATAATAGTTAATAGCCAACAGTTTTACTATTACTTACACCATCTGTACACATGTAAGATATATTATGATCGAATCGACCAACATCTTTAACAATTAATAAAGCTCTACCACCATTTGTTCCTATCACTTCTTCTTTACCAGGACGTAAATCTTGACGATCTGTACGCATCCAGAATACTTTACCGCCTTTCATACCGGTAATTGTAGATAATTCACATAAAAATTGTACAGTTGTTCCAGGACGTGCTTTAACCTCTTCAGGAGTTACCGACAAATCTGAAAAGATCAGTCAAAAATATATATAAATAATCAAAGTAAACTTTGAAAAGACAAAGTTCTATTTATTTCGAAAACTTCTTTAGTGATTAATGTCATTATTTTATGATTGGTGATCGGTATAATGAAACTTGCAGTCGAATGCTCTACCACTGAGCTATACCCCCATAAAGTGTGGCAACTGGTTGTTGCAATGTGGAAGTGCCGAGCATTGCAGTATCATACTCCTTAATAGTGCGCATCCGAGATCCCGCGTGTGGGATTCGAACTCAGGATCTTCGATTTCTCATGAATTCAACAATTAAATTACTATAATATCTACAAAACCCCTCTCTGATTATAACGTTGGGTTGTTGTATACATGGAGACTGGTTTACATTTTGTTGAAATTGTAAACCTAAAGCTTAATATTATAACAGTCCACTACATCATCTTATATAAATGATACTATTTTACTAAAGGTAAGTATTTCTAAGCAATTACATCCAAGATACCCATTTTATCCTAATTTGAACTAGGCAGTTAAACTTACCTATATTCTAGTAATGATCCTTAAACAAAGATTCGAATCTAACATCATTTGTTTCAAATTTCACTACATTATCCAATGTTGTGTTGACTCCATGTAATCACTAACCTATCCAATGGTTATTGGTTTTCATTATGATTGTTTGTATTTTCCCGTTGTCAATTTTATGGACTGAAACTAATCAATTTCTATTCGCATATATGTACATTCCAAACGGACTACTTTTGGATCGTCATATGGTCACAGAATCCAGGTAAACGTTTTATTGTATTCGGAAATCGCCATCTGACTATACTTGCAGTCATTAACATTAACAACAAACACATATAACCCTACACAAAACTGAAAATGTTTTGTAGTGAATCTTCTAAATATAACTTCTTTAGTTCAGTGGGGTTTTCTGAATGCACGCATATCTACCTTCTACATAGAAGTTTATGATACCCTAGTAAATGTTTAAGGTATAACGATCTTTCAGCGAGACTATAATTTCATGGACGAATCAATCATATTTAAGATAGCAGGTCACAGACTTTGGAGTGAAATTCATTCAGCCATTTATAGCTAAATAGAGTTTTGGCATTATATATGATGTCAGTTCGTAATGAAAACATTAAATCTAATTCCTAACCTTAACCATCAACTGCAAATCATGATCCCTATTCTTTAAACAGCTTTATAACCTTCATTTGACCTTACTAAGTAGGTAAACATTGCAAGGTCACTTTAGCGTTCCTCAAAGGTCGACTATGAATTATAGTCTCACCAATCGTTCAATTGAACTACATAATATCAGAAGGTGTTTTGTGGGGATTATAGTAATTTCATTAGTTAAGAGCTAAACCACCATGGAAAACACTCATGAGCAAAACTAATTGGTCCCGAGTTCGTATCATGCGAGGGGGGGGGCATGGATGCACACTGTTGAAGAGTCCCATAATAGGACGAAACGGTCGTTCAGTGTTTTCGGGTCTTCCATGATGGTCCAGCTTCAATGATCTTAACTACTGAAAGAATTACAGAAACTGAATCATTATAAAACATAAATTAACTTCATTTCAAAAACTAACCTCTTGTTTTCACAATTAATTTAGCAGTATCTCTTAAATTTAATGCTCTACACACATATAAACCTTCATGATATTTTTGTACATTCATTATACTTAAAAATGATGTAGATGGTGTTGCATCAGGATTATCAATTTTAACATCATTATGTAGTGAAATTTCACGATCATCACCTTCTGGTATAAAATACCAATCGATTAATTGATTACCATATTCTCTACCATCTAATCGACAATGAAATTCAGTAATATCACCAGCATTTGCCCATGCTTCATCTTCTTTTGGTAGGATACTAAGTGTTACAATAGCTAATAATGTAATAAATAATATTAAAAAGTATATGTAAGTAATGATGATCAAAGTTTAACTTATTAAATTAAATATGAGCCAACATGAGACTGATCAATTACAGTCCTTAATAATAATGGGAAGATACAAGTAAAACAACAATACCAGGTGGATTTAAACTTCACACGATTACACAAGCAAGTGGCTATCAGGACTCAGTAGCTAAGTGGATAACGCGATGTCGTTTGGAGCGAATGGTACTGAGTTCAAGTCCCAGAGTGAACATCGATTCTGGGATGCATGTACATCCAGCTGATAACGAGGTCCCAAATAGGACGAAGTAGCGCGCATCCTGAATTGCACTTCTAGCCACTATCCATCCTTGCTTATTAGGTTAGATTGTTTATTAGTTAAATTCACGAGTCAGTTGAATCTAGATCACCATGGAAAACCTGGAAGAACTAGATGGCTGTTTCGTCCTAATATGGAACTTGTCAACAATGAGCATCCACGGTTCCACAACAAAGGAATTAGAACTCAAGGTCTTCGGTCTCGAACTTGAACGCTAAACGTCTAGGCAACTGAATCGGCATCCAATGGTGTTAATGTCTAACTTCAACCAATCCATGAAATTTTCTCACCGTTCAAAATTTTCTTCTGTAAGCTACTATCTCACAAAAGACACGGTTGAACACTGGTCACAGATTCTCACTTGATCTCCAGAAAATATCTCTTGAAGCTGGTCACTGGTAAGCACATGATGATTATTATTAAAAAGAGGTTTTCTGTGGATCGTGGATGCGCACTTATGAGGAGTCCCACAGTGGGACAAAATGGCCTTACAGTGCTTCCAGGTTTTCCTTGGTGATCTAGCTTCTATTGACTCATGAATTCAACATCATATTGTTGGTTAGTATATCATTTCTAACCTTACTCATTTTTAGCGTGTGCTTTAGATGTTGGGAAACGCTTACTGTTCATTGTAGTCTTTCCACTGGCAAAATGTAACACATAATAATGGTTTTCAAAATATACTTTCAATGAAATTAATTATTTTTCTGACAATTATACCCCATATATAAGCGAATAATATTGTTTTTAAATAAATCCTCATCCATCTTTACTCCAATATATACGGTAATATTTATATGGTTATACGTAACTATTAAACCAATCAAGGTTAGGTTGTCTTGTTCTGTCATATCCTCAACTGCTCCTGAGGAGAAAGTTATATTGAGCTCACTACCAGACAACTGAGTCAATGAGTTAGTGAACACCTGCCTTCATGGTTAGGAAGGGGTATTGTCATACAATACACAGCTCTTCATTCGATGAAACACAGTTGATTAAATCTGACTTGATGATGATTGTATTTTTCCAGTTATTCGTACAGATAGTAGTCTTATGGAATCATTATCTTTCATCAAATTATTTCGATAATACCACTATTAGAATATGAATAAGATAATTTTATGATGTAACTCTGTTAATCATGTTTTTTTTAAGTCTGCTTTTCATAAATGATCAGTATTAATAGCAAGTAATAACGTTCACCCTTGCGGGATTCGAATCGAGGATCTGTCGGTCTCATGCACGAACGGTGTTAATGTCTAATTTCAACCAATCCACGAGATTGAGCAACACATCCATTATTGTCTTCAGTGAGTAACTACTTCACAACTGACCTAGTTGAACTCCACTATAGCTGAAGTCATATGTAAAGTATACTGAATTCACTTTTTAAAAATATACAGATAATGTGTAGTGGTAAACGCTTGGCATCTCTATTTTAACTGCCCTAAACATTCCTAGAAATTCTTACAAGTTATAATCTCTCTGAATGTTTTGTTAATTTCATATATACAGATGATTATCAGGAAATTCAGTTCAATTCCAATCATCTAGATAATAACATTGCTACTGGAAAACACATGACATGTTCTATCATTTTATTCACTGTGGAAGGTTTATCATTTGTCATGAATCAGATTATCCTTAAGGGTTTCTCAACCTATACAGTTAAACATGATTTACTTCAAATATAACTGTAAAGGTTTCATGAATTTCTTAAAGGTTTTTCTTCAAGTTTCATCAATAGACTCAACATCATAGCTCGTTCTTGTTTGTTTTTGTTTTTTTTTTGTTGTATGTAGCGAACAGTCAGAAAAGTTTCTTATGACATGGATACATAACATGTGTTTCCTTTTCAATCATATCATTTGTACTTTAGGAAAAAATTACGAGACTGATAGGTCCTGGGTTCGAATCCCATGAGGTAGGGTCGTGGATGCGCACTGATGAGGAGTTCCATAATAGGACAAAACGGCCATCCAGTGCTTCCAGGTTTTTCATGGTGGTCTAGCTTCAATTGACTCATGATCTCAACTGTTGAAAAAACATTACTTATTGATAAATAAATAAAATAACACAATTTATTCATTACTAGAATAACTGGACTACTTATTAAGGTAATGTGTGACATTAAGATGATAGAGAAGTATTATAGTTCAGATGGATGACTTTCAAGGAGTTTTGATCTCTGAACTAGATGATTTGGTCATTGAACTTTCATTGTCCTTTTGAACAATATCATCACACTTGAATTTTATGTTGATGATGTCGTTTAGAAGAACAATGAAAGTTTCACGATCAAGGCAGAACTAAACATACAAAAGTAGTCCACCATATTCTAAATGTTACCTTTGTCTTAAAAACTACCATTATTATCATAACATTTCGTATTTTCAAAAGAGGGTTTTATGTGGAGATTATAGTAATTTAATAGTTGAATTGATAAGTCGATTAAAATTAGACCACTATGGAAAATCTGGAAGCATTGGACAACTGTTTCGTCCTATTGTGGGAGTTCCAATTCACTCATGATCTCAACCATTGAAATTAATGTCAATTATCAGTATGGGGGTTGTGGAGATTGTTAAGTTTTTTGGTTGAGATCATGAATTAATTGATGTTAGACCACCGTTGGAAACCTGGAAGCACTGGACGGCCGTTTCGTCCTAGTATGGGACTCACTAATGACTAGCTTCGTGAGGGAGTTCTCGGAGTTCTAGTGAGAAGTCGTGATCAGTGGAGCTAATCCGTGTCGGGTAGAAACAGGTATCTACTTCAGTACAATGGAAGTTGGTCGCGCAATTTCGTGAATTGGTTGATGTTAGACACTAACACCATTGGATGCCGGCTCAGTGGTCTAATGGTTAAGTGCTCAGGCGCGAAGCCTAGTAGGTCCTGGGTTCGAATCCCGCGGGGCGCGAGATCGTGGATAATGTCAATTAGTTTGAACTTTCATCATTACTGGAGAGTAATAGTTAAGGTCATAGGATTTGTTAGTTTCTACATATCAGTCAACTAGGCATAAGTAACGTACAATCTTGAGTGTAAACTTTCCATTGAACGTGTTATATTTCGATTATGTAATGAGAAGATGAAGGTTATCAGAATTATATGATGATATATTTGTGTAATAAATTTCAAACATTCTGATAATACATTATATACTTGTTAAGATATTTCTATCTGAAAACTATAAGGTCAACTAGATAGGTTAAAGGTAAGCCGTAACAAAGAAAAATAATAATAAAGTACACATAAACAATGTGATAACTATTCAGCATAATAAATCAATATTACCAGGGTAGGTTAAGGATAAGAACAAATTGTTTTTGAACCCATAAAGAGGGTTTCAGTGTCCCTATAGCCAAGGCTTCAATAAACCTTAGTATACGTCCTTCAAGGCTTTTGTACAGATTGTTCAGATGGTTCGAAATATATTGCACAGATATACTACATATTTTTGATAAACTTCATCTTCTCATTGCATTATCGAAATTTATTAAAAGAGTATACTAAGGTTTATTGAAGTCTTGGCTATAGGGACACTGAAACACCCTTTATGGGTTCACAAACAATTAGTCCTTACCCTTAACACCTACCTTAGTAATATTGATTTATTATTCAGAGTGGTTTAGTCATCATAAGCAAATATGGTTAGTGACTATAAGTGGAATGTAGGTGTGCGTTTAGTCCTACCTGAGAATCGAACCAAGTGCCGTCCGCTCCAAACGCCATTAGGTTATCCATTTAGCTACTGAGTCACATTCTTTTCGTGTGTTTTGTTTTTCTTTGTTACAGCTAACGTTTAACCTATGTAGTTGACCTTATAGTTTTCAGATGGAAATATCTTAACAAGTATATTATGTGTTATCAGAATGTTCGAAATATATTGCATATATATATATATATATATATATATATATATATATATATATATATATATATATATCATCACATAATTCTGAAAACCTCCATCTTCTCATTACATTATCGAAACTTAGTATACTCCCTTGAAGGCTTTTGTACAACAATACAAATACTGACTTGATATCAACCTTATGACCAGTCTCAATCAAATGTTTCGCAATAGAGGATGATGTCTGTCTATCCTATGATCTTATTTGATCATTGGAATTCATTTGTTTCTGTTGACATTTGGGTATGTGTTCCTCTACCCTTACTTGCAGATCACGATTGCTCCTCTGTAAGTACATGTTCCCACTCATAAATGAAAATCGATAGACACAATTGCTTGTAAGCAATACTGTTTTGGTTTTTGGTAAAATATATACCTTGTCTTTTCAATAATGACAAGTTGAGCTACGTAAAATATTCTGTTTATGGCTTGTTATATCTTACAATATCATGCAATAATAATGCAAATTAGTAAGAATTATCAATTTTACCTGACTAATATCTTTCTGTAATAACATCCTTTATGTTATACAGTCTTCAAATCAGCCACAGTACCTTGATACGACCTAGGGATAAACCATATTAAGTGCTAACCGCTAGATGTAACTTCGATGTTAGCTGTTAGTCACACTATTCTCATCTAACTCAAGTAAGCCCCCCCCCCAATCATTCAACAGAGATCATCAACATTATTGATCTACACATTTGTATATAACTGGACATTTTATCCTTCAATTTTCACATGATTCAGTCATGGTTCATTCATGCTATTCAAATAATTTCGGTCTATTGACAAAATTACACAATACTGAAATAACACATCAGTGTGTAATCAGCCTACTGTCATCTAATAAATTTATAGCCTATAACTGTTCATGATAAACAAACTATTTTCATGTAACTAACTGATTCTAAAGTCATATTTACATAATTTTCATAGTTAGAAACAAACATTCTTATAAGTGTACAGTCTCCTTCCACCTCTCCCCCCTCAACCTGATCTCTCTCTCCCTCTGTAATGACACAAGAAGTCTTGTTTACATCTTTACATTATGTTATCATTTGAAAGGTCAACATTTTATGAAAAAATAAAATTTGTACTTATATTTTGACCCCATCACTAACACCACCACTACCATCATCATCATCACCGCCACCAACACCAACACCAACACCCTTAAAACATGTATATTAGTAACCATTAGTATATAGAATTTATTTATTAATTAGGAGAATTATAGATTTTTCTAGGAAATCAGAAGTGGTTTGTGGAGATTTCTAACAAATTTCACAGATTGGAATCATGAGTCAGTTGAAGCTAGACCACCATTGAAAACCTGGGTGCACTGGACGGCCGTTTCGTCCTAGTATGGGACTCCTCAGCAGTGCGCATCCACGATCCCGCACCACGCGGAGCTCGAACCCAGGACCTACTGGCTTCGCGCGCCACCACTTAACCACTAGACCACTGAGCCGGCATCCAACGGTGTTAATGTCTGACTTCAACCAATCCACGAAGTTGCGCCACCGTACACCATTGTCTTCAGTGAGTTCCTATCTCACAACAGACCTGGTTGAACTCCACTGGTAACGGCTTCTCACTAGAACTTCGGGAGTTTTCCTGAAGTCAGTCACTAGTGAGCAGTTGATTATTATCAGAATGGGTTTTGTGGAGATTTTACAAATTTCACAGATTGGAATCATGAGTCAGTTGAAGCTAGACCACCATTGAAAACCTGGGTGCACTGGACGGCCGTTTCGTCCTAGTATGGGACTCCTCAGCAGTGCGCATCCACGATCCCGCACCACGCGGGGCTCGAACCCAGGACCTACTGGCTTCGCGCGCGAGCACCTAGCCATTAGACCACTGAGCCGGCATTCGACGGTGTTAACGTCTAACTTCAACCAAGTCACGAAGTTGCGCCAGTGCTTCCAGGTTTTCAATGGTGGTCTAGCTTCAACTAACTCATGATATCAATCTGTGAAAATATTCTAAGAAATGTTGTCAAATATGAAAAGAATAAATATTTAAGTTGACAACATTAGGGGGATCATAGTCATTTTAATAGTTGAATTCGTGAATCGGTCTAAGCTAGACTATATTCGAAAACCTGGAAACATTAGATGGTTGTTTCGTTCTAGTATCGGACTCCTCAGCAGTGCGCATCCACGATCCCCCACAAAAGAGATTCGAACACAGAACTATTAAACCACTGGATTAGTTGAAGTCAGACATTAACACTGTTAGTTACTGGCTCAGTGGTCTAGAGATGAAACGTGCGCGTAGTGAGACTGATAGGTCCTGGGTTCGAATCTCTCGAGGCGAAATCATTTATGCGCACTGCCAAGGTGTTCCACAATAGGACGAGACAGCCGTTCAGAACTTCCAGGTTTTCCACGGTGGTCTAACATGAGTTCAACTGTTAAAAATACTACAATCTTCACAAATCTCCCTACTAATTTTAATGTTTATAACTTTGTTAGCAATAGGGATGACTATACGTATGAAATGCCCTTAAAGGTTGATGATACGAAATTTCTATGAAATCTTTTATCACATACAAGTTATTCTATTATCGAATAACTAGTAATTGTTAATCCTCCCATTTATGACTTGTCTTAGTCGATTTACTTCCATCTTTAACTAACGGTCATAAATGTACTTGAACAAAGACCTGATACTTAGTATGATCTCTATTCCGATGATAATAGTGAAATTTTAAATATCCATGATACATCGTTTTCCCTAAATCTTATGCTTCATAGTTTTGACACCTACACGACAACGGTTTAGGTGAAATACTATATACATCAAGTCATTTTAAATGAGTAATCTGTTTTTTTATCTACCTAATACATTAAGTAATTAATAGTCGTTTCTTCCATTTATGGGATTTCTCAGTAGTGTATATATCCATGATGTCATTTAGAATAGATTACAATAACCTTACTTCTCATAGGAAGTCCATAACCTGTAGATCAGTAATTTGGGATCTTACGAGTGAGATCGTGGATGCACACTGTTGAGAAATCGCACAATAGGACGGAACGGGTATCTAGTGCTTCCAGGTTTTTTAATGGTGATCTAATATTGATCGGTTCATGATCTCGATCAACAATTTGGAATACAATGACTCTAATATCCAGTTTCAGTTATTTCATAATATATCATGTTCATATGATTGATGAAACAATCCATATATAGTAAGTGTATAGAATGACATATTGGATTAGACTATGTATATATTTCAACTTACTTGGTGCTCTGATGATATGACCTCGTAATTTTTTCGAATTTTGTTGACATTCATAAAGACCTTCATGAATATTTTCCATTTCTTTAATAACAATTACACTTGTTCGTAATCTATCTAAACGATTAGTACCAGTTGGTAATGTACCACCATTGAATGTCCAGATGACCTGAAAACCATGGTGGAGTTTTATGAAAAAACAAACATATTGACGATGACATTATATAATGTAATTAAAATTCACAAAATTTCATTATAAGCAAAGATGAATGGTGATTAGCTATTGAATCCAGGATGTGCATATCGTCTCATTTGTGAGTAATGTATAAAAGAAAGACTGTATATAAGGATATAGTACAGGAAGAAAGAAAAGTATAAAGCAATACACCTATGCCATCGTGATCGATTCTGAACCATGTCATTCACAGTCTCCAACTATTGGTTACGATAGTCACACGGAACCCAATCAAGTAGTCTGCATCTACCAACATAGTTAAGGCCAGAAGTTAGGGACTTCAAGGACTGATAGCACGTTTTGGTTTGGCCAGTCCCTAACTTTCTTCCAAGCATCCCTAACACTAGTTAACATTGTGCATTGTGATAATCGGTGTCCAGACATACGTGACGCGTGGCTCAACCATCTTAGTCTATGAAGATTTCCAATCTCATCATCTGATTTATGATCGTTCCCTAATACCCTTCGTTTAACCTCACTATTACTTACCCGGCGATCCCAGTAGATGTGACCAATATTTATAAGATATCTGTGGTCAAATACTAGTACTACTTCAGTCAATCTGTATTCCCAAAAATGTGATATCAAGAGTGTAAATCAAGTGTTTTGACACTATATTTCTAAATTAAAATTAGTTGAAGAAAATTCTTGGAATAAATAGATATTAATTAATGTTACATGCATTATAAACAAAGATGAATGGTGGCTAACAGTGGTATCCAAGACGCGTGTTTCGTCCTATTTTGAACCAGATTGTTCGATAGTATTTGAAGCGAGCGATACTGGGTTCGAGTCCCACAGTGGATATCAACTCTAAGATACAGATACATGTAGATGACGAAACCTAAATAGGACGAAGTTGCGCCCATCTTGTATCCCACCGCTAGCCACCAACCACCTATATAACAGATTGTTATTTTTCAACATAATCATTCATAAAATAAAATAGTTTCATACATTTTCTCCTGTTCCAACAAAATCTTTTTCTAATTCACAATGTAATTCCAATGATTCACCATTACGATAACTGAAAATCTCTGTTGTTGTTTCAGATAATTCTATAACATAAACAATTGAATATATCAAACAATTAATAAGTTATAATATAAATGATCATTTGATAGTTCAACTAAATGCAAACTGCTGAAGAGTCACACAATGGGACGAAATCACCATTCAATGCCTTCAGGTTTTCTATAATGGTCTAATTTCAATTGACTATTAAATTCTAATGATTAGAAAGGAGATTTGTGTAGATTGTAGTAATTGTAAAACTTAGATTCGAGTTGCATGTACTGAATGATGGATGAGCACTGTTGAAGAGTGTTGTGTCCTGATAAGAATAATGAATGGTAACTTTCGGGATCCGTTTGTGGACCAATACTATATGCATATTTTTTATCGTATAATTGTTATGTAACTAAACTGTTCATATTCATGTCCCTCTTATTGTGAGCTTTATGTTGACCTATGAACTACTATTGTACGACTTACCATTTATGAATTATTCCCTATCTGTTAATCGCTACCTCCCTCATTCACAGCCACTTCTGGTTAACTCTTGTACAGATTTTATTTTCTATTTTATTGATACATTGTGGTCGGGTTGATTGGTATATAAACAGAGTATGCTTGAAATACAATGATTTATATCTCAGAGGCTGAGACTTGCGTTCTGGACTCAACTGGCTGGGCTAGACAGGAAAGCGGGACCAATCGAAACTCTAGGCCGTTCGTGCATGTTTTACGTGTCATTGATCCGATCGATAAATACGCTTCGCTCTTATCTGCAGTTCACAAAACACAACAATTTGTGACGGGGACGGTACGGAGATATGATCGAAATGATCGTCAAGTGATTGCATGTTTTCCATAGTGGTCTAGTTTCAATTCACTCATGAATTCAACTATTAAATTCGAATTGAATAGTCAATTATCATTATAATTTAATGAATCTATGATCATTTAGTTGAATTTGAACTCAATTAAAATGATTGAAATTGTATAGGTCTAATAATTAGTAGTCACTAATGAACTTCTATCTTTCAATATCTTTTATTTGGTAACTCAATCAAATTATGGTTTACGAATATAGTGTCCAATATGAGTTCAAATATTCCCTGTAATCTGAAACGGAAATGATGCTTGACATATCAATTACTTGTGTCAGTGTACAACATGATCAGTAAGAAGATAACGTCAAAAAAAATTAGATGACTTTATAAGCAAAGACGGATAGTAGCTAGCAGTGGAATCCAAGATACACGTTTCATCCTATTTGGGACTTGTCAGATGGATGTATCTGTAGCTCACAGTTGATGTTCGCTGTAAGGCTCGAACCCAGTACTATTCGCTTCAAACCTCGTCACTTTATCCACTTGGCTACTGAGTCCTGAAAGGCAATAGCTAAGTGGATAACGTGATGGCATTTGAAGAGAACAGTACTAGGTTCGAGTCCCGAAGTGAACATCAACTCTGGGATGCAATCATTTTAATCATGTTCAAATCCAACTAAATGAACATAGATTAATTGGATTACAATGATAATTGACCATTCAATTTGAATTTGTTAGTTGAATTCATGAGTTTATTAAAGCTAGATTACTGTGGAAAACCTGGATGCACTGGACGGTTGTTTTGTCCTAGTATGGAACTCCTCATCAGTGCACATCCACGATTATTATTAGTAAGACATAATAATGTGGGATGAAGGCGAAATAAATAAATCATGTATTAGGGAGATAAATAATAGTAATAATAATGATACAAAGATTTGTGAATAAAGATAACAGAGACTACGAAAGGTCATAAATACAACAGTCAAATTAAGTCATTCAATAGTAAAGATCACTATTGATTAATTGGTATTGAGGTTAACCAGATGATAAGAAATGATTGAATCTATTTCTTTTCTACATATAGATCCAGTTTCTTAATTCGGATAGATATTGCTTTAGCCATTTGAATCATTTTAAGTTTGACCACACTCATAAGATTCAAAATCTGGACCTTCATTATTCATAATGATCTAACTTGAATCAACTCATCAATTCAACTATTAAATGACTACAATCTCCATACCTCCCCCCCCCCGCTATCCAATTGATTGGTTAGTAGTATGTTTAAAACCTACCATTTACACGTATACTATATTACTATTAAAATTCATATTGTTCTCATATCTAGTTAAATGACTACTTATATATATATATCACAGTTAGTTACAGTTACATAATATACCCTTGTGGGCCAGGGTAATTTTACATTGGTTAACAAGAGAACCAGTCACCATCCGGACCTTCATGTGACAACCCTGACTAGTACAGCTCAACCCCGTTTAACAGGAGAGCCAAACACCACCCAGGCTTAAATTTTATAAACCGAGCAGTATAGCTCAATCTCGCTTCACAAAGGAACGAGACACCGTATAGGCTTTAACGCTAAAATCTGAATAATACAACTCAATCCTGTGACGTAACCACACAGGTACTAAGCACCCTAGTGGACCACTTATATATATATATATATATATAAACAAATTTATTTCATTTTCACAGTAATCAAATATGGATCATTAATAATATTCATTAAAATTTGATTCGCGCCATTTTTTTTTTGAAAAATATTTACATAAACAAGTACACAAATATATATTACTAATTAGGTCAATAAATAATTAGTAGTATATAATTATAAACATAATCATAGTTTGAAATCAGTTGACAGTTATTTATATATCTATTTATAATTGTATATAATAAAATTGGCAATAAAATTTGTTTCAATGTTCAATGGATCAATTTGAAAGTATCAATACAAATTAGAAACATATTTATGATTTATGCTTAACATGACATAAATGTGAGAAGGGGTTTTGTGGAGAGTTTTTTTTATAAGAAATTTCACTCGTTGAAATCATAAGTCAATTTGGAAACATTGGATGGCCGTTTCGTCCTTGTATGGGACTCCTCAGTTGTGCACATCCATGATCCCCTACCCCGGCGAGATTCAGTCTTGCGCTCGAGCGCTTAACCATTAGACTACTAAGCTCTCATTCAACGGTGACAATGTTACTACATAATTCACTGATAGATTAGAAAGGATGAAATTGTTACCAATGAACTAGGAGAGTTCAACTATATCTATTGTAAGGTAGTGACTTATTGAAGATAATGGTGGATGATGACATAACAATATGGCACAAATTTATGAAGTAGATTGAGCCATATTGGTAGGTGTAGACTATATAATTGAGATTCACGAGATGATAGCACTCGATAGTTAGAGACCATGAATGAGATGGCTTAAAATCGTTTATGATGGCGTAGATGTATTCTCTTAAATTCTAATCTTCTAAATGATTCATTTTCATTTGTTTTCTCTTTCTAAACTTATTTCACTGTACTACACTGTTGAATAACATCCTCAAACCCTGATCTTTCCGATAAATACTTATACTTTTACTACCTCTACCACTATGAGATTTGAATTGACAATTGTATCTCTTTGCTAATTTAGTATGAAAAAGTGAACTGTTGTACGAACGCACGAAGTTCTGCGTTGCTAACTGACTGAAGTTAGATATTGACATCATTGCATGCCGCATCAGAGGTCCAGAGGCTAAGCATTCATGTGTGAGATCAAAGCCCCTGTGTTCGAGTCCCTTTTATACGGGATCGTGGGTTTGCACTGCTGAGAAGTCCCATACTAAGATGAATCGGCTATTCAGTGCTTCCGGGTTTTCCATGGTGGTCTAGCTTTAATCGACTCATAAATACAACTATTAAGTTATGTTACTTGGTAATTGTAATATGATACCTTGAATACTCATGCATGGAATATTTGTAACGATAAATTATTAAATCGTTTCTTAATATGCATATCACTAAGACATTTAAACCATTGATAGATGTTAGACGTCTATGTCGGAAAACTGTCTCAAGTTCAACTCCTAATGTTGAGATCATACTTGCAAACTATTGAGAAGTCTCATATGAAGATGGTATAGCCGTTCAGTGTTTCCTAATTTTCACTGATCATCATTATTTAGTGATTTAAACTATGAAATATTTAAAATATCTACGATCCCCTCTTTAGTCAGAAGAGGATCATCATCAGAATATCAGTGATGTAGCTTTAACAGATAAACGTTTAATTCAATAACCCTACAAGATTGATGATCAACATCAATGAAATGCCTTTAAACAGATCATTTATATTGAAAACGTCAAGAGAATAATACTTGTGATTCATTACACACTAACTAGCTATCTAAACAAGATTATTTATTTATTTACATATGTGTTTTTCCCTGCTTAATGGAAGTAGCCTCAAATCCTCTGATATGGTCGAGAGTGGAGCGAGTCAGCTCTCCCTCTCGAAATGCTCTCACATGACTACGTGCATATAACCACTGACAAAGAAGTCCTACTCACTGCCTTCTCAAGTCGGGGATGTTGTTTACGGAATTGAGAGGACGAAAAGCGAATGTCCAGCGATTTAACCGGGTTGGTGGATACGGATGATCTATCTAGGGGAGTTAGGAAACCCTGATTCCAAACCAGTAGTACACATGAGCTCCAGTATCCTGAAGGGACAAATAATGTATGAACCAATCGTTGTTCACCGGTTACCATGGGACTTCATCTCCTTATGTTGCTCCACTGCCTAGTGCATTAGACCTTTAGGTCAAAGGCTCCTGGTGTGGCCCCCTAAGAAAATCATCTGTTTTGGTTTGGGCATCCGGGCAATATCCCAGCCCTCACACAAATCGAAGGGTTCAGAGATCAAAACTACTCGAAATTATTTAAATGTAATTCCAGTGAATTAAGAATACTTACCCATCTTTCCAGTTGTACTGAGAGATTTAGGTTCTAAATCAAGTTTAATTGAACCAACAATTTCTCCAGTTTCAGATGAAGTTACTTCACAAGTTATTGATGTATCTCGTTTGACACCATCATCTGGTATATGATCAATAATTAGTTGACGAACTATTGTTTCACTATCACCAATCTTTCCACTTTCCACTGTTGACCATTGATAATTAAATGATACACTTTCTGCTTCATTTGGCGGCATATGACATTGTAAAATAACAGTTGGATCATCAGGATCAATTCTTTTTGAGATGGTAATATATGGAATTGCTGTGAAAGATGAAGGAAATAAATATTTTCATTAGAAGGGGTTTTGTGGAGATTATAGTAATTTCAATAGTTGTGATCATGGGTTAATTGAAGCTAAAACACCATGGAAAACCTAGAAGCATTGGACGGCCGTTACGTCCTATTGTGGAACTCTTCAGTAGCGCGCATTCACGATCCCACCCACGAGATCCGAACCCAGAACCTATCAGTCCCGCGCGCAAGCGCTTAATCGCTAGACCACTGAGCCGGTCGGCATCCAACGGTGTTAATGTCTAACATTACCGAATAAACGATAGCTTGAAAGACTGTCAGCTGAAAGAACAATCGATAGCATTTTCGTATTAATATACGACTACTCTGTAATGTTTATGCACACAGTTTTAACACAACTTATCAATGGCAGTAAAAGATGGTTATATAATACCATGAAATGATTGAAGTTACGAATATACACCATTAAATATGCGTCTTAAGATTAAACGTTCACTATGAGTACTAAATATCTTAGGTTTCTTAAATTAGGTCAATATCTGCTCAGTCCTTCTCAGTTTCAAAATGTATTCTGAGGTCAGTTTATGATAAAGACTATATAATCCAATAATCTCCACAAATCTATTCCATTAAAACTATTTTGTAAAGATTTTCAGTAGCTCGAAAGTAATTTTCATAAAGAAATAACAATCAGACAGATAATCATTGCACATCATGAATTATTTAAAAGGTGTTTTCTTCTCGTTTTGGAGGTTTTTCAGAAGTCTGTTCCGGTACAGTCGAGAGTGACGAGAAACCGTCCTCTCTCTCTCTCTCTCGAAATACCCTCACATGGTCACGTGCGTAAAACCACTGCCAAGTAAGTTCTATGCTCTTGCGACGGGGGTGTTGTTTACGAAATTGAGAGAATGAAAAGCGAATGTCTGGCGATATAACCAGGTTAATGAATACGGAGGATCCGCCTAGGAGAGTTGGAAAACCACATGGATTTCAGCATCCAAAGGAAACTAGTGGTGTACGAATTTACTGTCCGTCTCCTGACATCGCTCCACTGCCTTGTGGATAAGACTTTTAGGTAGCCCCCTAAGAAAACCACCTGGTCCGGTTTGGGCACCCGGACAGTATCCCAGCCCTCACATAAATCAAATGATGTATATGGCGCATATCTATTTGATGGATCCTTGTATCAATGTTTATGTGTTTAAATAAAAAAAATGAATAAATTTACGAGGAAAATGTAATCAAACTCACAGCCTTCAAGTAAACTAGAGTTACCCGCAGATTATTATTATTATTATGCGACTTACCATTCTTGAGTTATGCCCAGTCTATTAATTACAGTCTACCACAATCACAGCCACTTTCGGCTAGATCTTGTACAAATGTTATTTTCTATTTTGTTGTACGATTTGGTCCGTTTGATTTACCCATAAACCCAGTATGTTTAAAATACATGATTCATATCACCGAAGCTGAGATTGGTTTTCTGGACTGAACAGGCAGGGCTAGACAGGAAGATAGGACCGATAAGTACTGTAGGTTGCTCGTAGAGGTTTACACATCATTGGTTCGATCGATAATTCACTGTTCTCTAATTGGCGGTATCATTACATCATACATTAATAGGATACAGGGCATAAGCTATAACAACAACACAGACTGTTAATAAATTAAACAGCTGTTAAGTGTTTTATAGCTTTATGGAATTCTTTAAATGATAACAATCCATGATAATAATTACTTCAAAAATAAACAGTTCAATGTTCACCAGTTGATAACTCCTCCTATAGCTAGCTCTTTTAGAGTTACTGCCTATCCCCAACCCAGGTAAAGGAGTAGGGTTGGAAATGGGGTTAGTGACCCCTTCCTGTAGAAAACTAATTCACGTAAGTAAGTAGGTAAGTATGTATGTATGTATGTATGCATCGCTAGTTGATAACATATTATGATAGAAAGTAAATCAAACTTACATTCAATGGATCTACGTGAACGTTTTAAATAAGTATGCTGATCTATTGTTGTATTCATTTGATCAATCCAACCATATTGACATATTGGTAATGGATGTTTAGTATGATGTAATTGTAAAGGATGTTCAAATTTATAATCATATTCATTCACAATTACATTACCCATAGGATATTCCCATATTACAAATGTATATTCATTGAATACATTAGGGCATTGGAAATAGGTTAGATTCTCAGAGGTAATCAATTTTCCAAAATTAATTTCTAGAATATTAAATAAATTGAAAATAAGATAAGTTCAACGGTACTAAAACAAAGATTACTTTATTGCTACCTTGACGTGGTGGTCGAGCTTGCCAATCGTGATGAAGCAACCGAGCTATACAGGCTAGAACAACCGTTCCTCGAGGCCCTGCTATGTCAGACAGGTCTGTTGAAGAACGGTAAGACTGAAAGCAACAAACCCAAGGTTCGAAGGCGAAGTCGTACTACTGACTGTACAGAGGTGTGAAGGCAGTAAGGTGTTTCCTTCAGACAACCAGCATGACAACGATGCTGCTTTTCCACAAGAAGGAGTGGGGTTAGAAAAGGTCAACCCTAAAAATGTACACCTCGCCTTATCCCACAGATATCCATCTCCGGCGATAAGGTCTCAGCAAGTACGGAGCTAACACAAAACTTACTCATAAAAAAGTCGTGTGTGACCGACCTCAAGCAGTTGTCTCTTGGGCATTGAGGTCACGCTCTCAGGTCACTAAGACCACCTCTAATCCAATTTCCTTTTCAGATACCTCCAGTAGAACCCTTCCATGGTGTGGGCAACTTGGAAGTGATAACTGCCCTCATACCTCTAACAGCACTCAAGACCACTGTATTCATAATCAACCTCCCCCTCTCTAATTCTTATTATTCCTCTTATTGCTTTGAAGATATAGTGAATTAATATCTCACTTGATTACTAACTTACGCCTGTCATCCCTCGGTAGAGAAGGAACATGGACCGCTCACTAGCATTCTCTATCCAACTCTGTTCTGAGTAATCCTTTCCAGTTGAGATCGTATCTTTTAATCACGAGACGATGTTTCATACATTCTAAATCTAATTATCATCAGTTTGTTTGTTTGATTACATAGTTGACTTAAGTTTTATGTTCTTGTTATGTAAGTCTATTCGTTATTTACTACTGAGTTATAAAGTAATGCTGACATTTAAACTTCATGCTCATTGCACAAGCAAGTGGCTATCAGGACTCAGTAGCTAAGTGGATAACGCGACGACGTTCAAGGCGAACGGTACTAGGTTGGAATCCGGGATCGGGCATCAATTCTGGGATGCAGGTACATACAGCTGACGAGTCCCAAATAGGACGAAGTAGCGCGTGTCCTAGATTCCACTACTAGCCACTATCGATCTTTGCTTAAAAATATTGACATGGTTCATTTCAGACTTTCCCAACATTCAAGTACCAATGGGCATAAAATAAACCAGCTAACTATTTAACACTAAAAAAGAACTTCGAATAGTTTGATTTATTTATGCAGTTTAAAATCATTTTAGTTCAGTTACTAATCAAAATACAATTACCGAACCTCTATTATGTAATAGTACTAATATAATGGACAATCTGTAAAACAGTTTGCTTAATTAATTACGAATCCATGAGTCGATCTAAGCTAGACCACCATAGAAAACCTAGAAACACTGTACAGCCATTTCATCTTAGTATAAAACTCCTCAGCAGTGTACATCTACAATCGGTAATCGTGATCTAGTTTAGATTAACTCGTAAATTCAACTATGAATATACTATAATCTCCACAAATCTAATCATTATGAATCATTATTACATCAGAATCCCATGCTAAATTGATTCTCTTCATCATTTAATGGATACTCATTAAATCAATATTTTGTGCAATTGTTTCGATTAAGTACACAAATGAAGATAACCAAAATCGATTACAGGTCATTTTAGTAAAATCGGAGAATCATACAATTAAAACTTCATTTGCAAAATATCTATCATTTATCTCGTTCTCATTCTCTTCACTTTGATCTTCTTAAGCTTCTTCTGCCACCAGTCATTTCACTTTCAATTGATGATACATGCTACTTATGATATCTGTCGACATCAGTAGCATATATCACTACGTACTTAACTATTCAATTGATTTGATGTGAAGAAGAAGAAGAAGAAGAAAAAGACGAACCTCTTACAACTATATCATTATGTACACCTTGAATTGATTGTTTATATTAACCATCTTACAAAACGATCACAGTTTTTTTTAGTTCGTTAGTTAGTTCATTCAACCGAACTTATAATGAAACTTATGATTTTCAAATGTTTTACATGAATTGCTTTTCCATATTACCTATTCAATAGAAAACAGGTCTATAAAATCTTGGGTTGTATTTGTTTTGTTTTATTAACATACTGATTACTGTATTATTTGCAAGCTGAATAAGTTATTATCAGAAGGGGTTTGTGGAGATTTTACAAATTCCACTGATTGAAATCATGAGTCAATTGAAGCTAGACCACCATCGAAAACATGGAAGTACTGGACGGCCGTTTCGTCCTAGTATGGGACTCCTCAGCAGTGCGCATCCTGATAATAATTATCTGCTCATTAGTGACTGACTTCAAGAGATGCTCCTGGAGTTCTAGTGAGAAGCCGTTACCAGTGGAGTTCAACCAGGTCTGTTGTGAGATATCAGCTCATTGAAGACAATGGTGTACGGTGGCGCAACTTCGTGGATTAGTTGAAGCTAGACATTAACACCGTTGGATGCCTACCGGCCCAGCGGTCTATGGGTTAAACGCCTGGCGCGAGACTGATAGGTCCTGGGTTCGAATCTCGCGAGGTGAGGTCTTGGATGAGCACTATTGAGGAGTCCCATACTAGGACGAAACGGCCGTCCAGTGCTTCCAGGCTTTCCATGGTGGTCTAGCTTCAATTGACTCATGGTTTTAATCGGTGGAATAAGTTATTGTTATGAACTATGGTAATAAATGATTCCAGTGAAGGAAGAAATCATGAAGAAGTGCTGGAAGTAAATAGGACATACATTGAGGAAAGCACCCAATTGCGTCACAGTACAAGCCCTCACTTGAAATCCTCAGAGTTAAAAGAGAAGAGGAAGACCAAAAACACAATATGCCGAAAAATGGAGACAAGGAGACATGAGAAGAATTAAAAAACAATTGGACAGAACTAGAAAGGAAAGCCCCGGGATAGAGTGGGTTGAAGAATGCTGATCGGAGGCCTATTCTCTATTGGGAGTAGGAGACGTAAGTAAATAAGCTAATAAATACTTTGTAACTATTAGTTGGCTGAAAACCTTTCAGACATATTGATTTATACTACTTAATTCATAAAGAGAATTTCATTTCTTTAATGATTTTGGTTGATTATCAACTAAAAAAGACGGAGATGAGGAGCCTACTAACGATTTCGTTCAACCAACTGACATTGGAATTTATAATTTCTAGGAATAAATAGTCTAAATAAAATAGAGTCATATGAAGAAAATATGGAACTCAAAACAACTATCTGTAAACCAATATCAAAGTCAGAATCTTCAATACCAACGTCAACACAGTTCTACTGTATTAACCTGAAACAGGGAGAACTAATACAACCATCATCAAAACAGTACAAGTATTTATAAATAGTTGTCTACACAAGATACTCAATATCCATTCACCGGATACTATCAGCAACAGCCTACAGTGGGAGAGAACAGACCAGCTTCCATCTGAAGAGGAAATTAGAAAAAGACGATGGAAATGGACAGGACATGAATTACACAAATCATCAAACTGCATCACGAGACAACCCCCAACTTGGAATCTTAAAGAGAAGTGAAAAACAGGAAAGTCAAAGAACACATTACATTGAGAAATAGAAGTAGATGTGAAAAGAATGAATAACAACTGGAAACAGCGGCAAAGGATTGCTTGGGACAGGGTTGACTGGAGGATGCTGGTGGTTGACCTATGCTCCTCCACGAGTAATAACGGGTGTAAGTAAGTAAGTAAGTAAGTAAGTAAGTATAAGTAGCTACTTTAAATATATGATAAACAGGATATTGACTCAAATACTGAATTAATAAAACAAAACTATTCATACCTGACATAAAATTATGTGACCATATTTCAATTTTTTGCACTGGTAAATTACGATGTAATGATGTTGAATGTTCGGTACAGAAATAAGTACCTAAATCATCAATTGTCAATCTATCAATGTATAAATTAGGGCTGATTTGTCCATTAATTTTTAAACCAGGTAATCGATACCAGACGACACTTTTGTTATTCCAATTATTTTGAGAAGTTGTTGGATTGCATGTCACTATTAATTTCTCACCTAAAACACCTTCAACAATTTGAGTTTCTTTACGTTCATAGACAAATGTTTCATAAGCTAGAATTCAAAGAAGAAAAATGAATAAAAATAATGATGAATTGTTTCAACATAAACAATTTTCAATAGTTAAGATCATAAATCAATTGAAACTAGACCACCATGTAAAAACCTGGAAGCATTGGACGTCCGTTGCGTCTTTGTATGGGACTCCTCAACAGTGCGCATCCACGACTTCATCTTGCGAGATTCAAACCCAGGGCCTATCAATCTCGCGCACAAGCGCTTAACCTATAGACCATTGAGCCGGCCAATATCCAACGGTTTTAATGTTCACGAAATTGACCGACACATTCACCATTCTCATCAGTAAGTTACTATCCCACAACTGATCCGGTTGAACTCTACTGGTCAGTGCTTCTCACTAGAACTCTAGGATATAGCTCTTGAAGCCAGTCAGTAGTGGTGGTGGTCTATCTTCAACTGACTGATGATCTCAACTATTGAAATTACTGTAATATTCACAAAAAATTCCTTCTAATAATTTTATTACTACTGTTTCCAATACGCTGAGTATAAAACCCATCATAATGCCAGATTACTTAGGCTACTTTCAGGATTCGATCATAAATAGGATGAAGATTAGGATTAGTGAATAGAGTATACCAACTCACGTGCAATTGAGTATGTTCACATTTAATTTTGTTAAACCCTTTTGTTAACTTATTTAATGGTCAGAGTCATTCGTACAATAACAACTTATCTATATCATTATACCTTTACTATTGTTGCGAATATATGGACATGTATGCTTGAGCGTTGCTTACTGCCTACGCATTTATTCGCACTGCTAGCCCTTCTACTAACCGCTTAATTGATTCGATCATTCATTCATTTCACTATGTATATATGTACATTTTAATCCTGTTCACTCACTTGCCCGTTAGCCTTTCAGCACTGCTCTTTCATGCTTGCTTAACGTGTCTGTAATTTTGTTTATCTGTGTGTTGTCCCATAATCAACGTAATCAACACTTCGTCGTATTCGTCTTCTGATGAATACACCGTTGAGGCGTTATCTAGTAATGGTTATCAAGACGAACTGTATACGAAGTTTAAAGATCATATTGAATAACGATCACTACAAGTGATCACATTTTATTCATTCATTAGTTTATTCACATGAATATAGACTATATTTGTATAATTAACTGATGGAATTTCATACCCTTTAACTGTATTTAACCGTATTAAAATGACATTTAATTGTCTTATCAATTCATCTGATCACATTGTTCAATAACGAAGACATTCCAATAATGACATTAGTTAATATCGGGAACTTGTTTAGTTTGTTTAAACTTTCTTAACGTCACTGCCAATAGTTTCTTTGGAATATTGTAATACATGAAAGTATAGTATGATAAAATGTACCAGTTAATTCGGTTTAGCTGGCATAAATTCAAATGTATAAAATACATTCAATATGATCTCATCCTAACTCCGTCTGGAACCCTTCTTGGGCTACTGTCGGTCCCAAACCTGGATAAAGGTGGAAGGTTGCGCATACAGTTAGAGACCATATTCCGTAGAAAACTAACTCGCTTAAAAAACGCTAACCAAAAGAAAAAAATATAAATCAAATCATTATCTTGTTGAAATCATGAGTCGATTGAAGCTAGACCACCATTGAAAACCTGGAAGTACGGGACGGCCGTTTCGCCCCATTGTGCGACCCCTCAGCAGTGCGCATCCACGATCCGCACCACGCGGGGTTCGAACCCAGGACCTACTGGCTTCGCGCGCGAGCACTTAACAACTCGACCACTGAGCAGGCATCCAACGGTATTATTGTCTAACTTCATTTAATCCACGAAATTGAGTGACACATCCACCATTGTCTTCAGTGAGTTAGTATCTCACAACAGACCTGGTTGAACTCCACTGGTTATAACAACTCACTGAAGACAATGGTGTACGGTGGCGCAACTTCGTGGATTAGTTGAAGTGAGACATTAACACCGTTGGACGCAGGCCTGTTCAGTGGTCTAGTGGTTAAGTGCTCGCACGCGAAGCCAGTAGGTCCTGGGTTCGAACCCCGCGTGGTGCGGGGTCGTGGGTGCCCATTGCTGAGGAGTTCCGTACTAGGACGAAACGGCCGTGAAATTTCTAAAACTCTCCATTTTGATCAAATCATTATCTCATCCTGGATAAATGAATCAGATAGACATTCTTTGAAGTATGTCACTCAATTAATGAATGAGAACATAAATAATTGGCCTTATATCTGACTCCAGTTAAATTGAATGAATGATTGTTATAGAAATATGCCTGTCAACTAATCCTCGTATATAATCATCGACTAGACTTGAGTTAGTGAATATAACGGAATTAAAATAAATCAAATACGAGAATGAATATTGAATACGTATATTTCATACCACTGTTGATCCAGATAAACAAGCGAAGGAACAAAGTGAAGAGAAAAGAGAGAGAAGAGAGATTAGATGACACTCGGTGCAATAACTGAATGAGCCAACTGGATCTAACCACGCATGAATCAACAAGTTACAGATATGTGATGAATAGGATATGATGTACACACACATACGCTCACATAATAATAACAATCAAGGTTCAGAAGCGAAAAGTTAACATGATCACAAATCAGAAGGGGGTTTGTAGTTATTATAGTAATTTTCAGTAGTTAAGATCATAAGTACTGGATCCTGGGTTCAAATCTCGCGGGGCGGGATCGTGGATGCGCACTGTCGAGGAGTCTGAATGATTTGTTATTACCAAAGATACGAGTTTTTGTAAAATGAAATAGAGTAGAGGATAAACATCCACAATCTTTTATTATCAAATATATATGTGAAACAGGTCATAAAATTGATCTTAACACGGCTTTTGTGATGTTGTATAAATGTGTAAAAGGATATATACTAAGTTCACTTGATATTATTTGGCTTGCATCTTCCCATTGAGGTTTAAGACTGCAATTGATCAGTCTGTTATTGGCATATGTGTATACTGTGCGTATGCCTCGATATTGCCTCAATTCACAAGCTTTTTTATAAGCAATGATGGATAGTGGCTAGCAGTGGAATCCAGGACGCCAAATAATACCAAGTGAATTTAAATTCACCCCATTGCACAAGCAAGTGACTATCAGGACTCAGTAGCTGAATCGATAACGCGATAGCGTTTGAAGCGAACGGTACTTGGTTCAAGTCACAGAGTGTACATTAATTCTGAGATGCAGGTACATCCAACTGACGAGCCCTAGATAGGACGAAACACGCGTCCTGGATTCCACTGCTAGGCAACGTATACTTAGGTTTCTTAAATACGAACTCCCTATTTATGTATTCAAAAATAGTTTATTTCCACCTTAAATCTACCCTGATATTACTAGCTCATTATCTATCATGATGAGATTTCAAATAATTTTCACTTTCACTTGTTGAATTTATGAGTTAATTAAAGCTAGACCACCATGGAAAACCTAGAAGCATTGGACGGCCGTTTCGTCCTAGTATGGGACTCCTCAGCAGTGCGCATCCACAATCCCGCACCCCATGGGATTCGAACCCAGGACTTGATTATCACTTTATTATCTTTGTATCCTTTCATTTTCCGTTTCTAGTTTAAGTGACCTTATTTATTTCTATATATAAATGATCAGATTGTTTGAAATGCATTACGCTAATATTTCATCACACAATTCTGATAATTTTTGTCTTCTTTTTACACTATTGAAAGATGAAATTTGTCTTCCTCAATAATCTAGTTCAATAAACGAACAGTGATGAATCTATGATTTCTTCTAACAACATTTGATAATGAGACGATAAGTTATCGACGATCTTTGAATGACATTAGTGTAACCTATAAAGTGTCCACCTAATAACTAGGACTAAAATGAATGTTATAAACTAATGTGAGGAACTAGAATTATACTTTACAGTTAATGATTGGGGTTAGGAGTTATGTTTATGGTTTCCATCATGAACTGTAACATCAATGATAATAGCAAAACTTTACTGAACCAAATAGATGAATGAAACATTTCGCGCCAAAATCCAAGAGGTCGGTCGCGGCTCGGACAGCTCAGTGTTAACGTCTCTGACTGTGAAGCTGAATGACAAGGGATCGAATCCGCCAGGGAGAAAAAGTTCCTTCAAGATTACAGGTACACCTTGCTGACGAGTGCCAAGTAGCACGAAACCCGGGTCCAGGGTTTCCTGTTGACTACCTCCAACCACCATCTAAATCTCAATACATAGTGCCCGCAGTGTCGAGTCACCTAGACTGGTGGCCACATCGCAACATGATCGATAGCATTCGTTCTGCACTAATAAGGACTAGACAAGCATGACATTGATCACCACCCAGTGATCAATCAATTGTGAAGACCTATATTCTTAAATCTGATTGGTTCATCTATAAATTATACAATCTCACCTGGAAAATTTTATTTATCTATTTACATTTCACTTTTTGTTCAAATTTATGTAAAATACATTTTTTGTTTGTTTGTTTGCTTGTTTGTTATCTTTCGTTTTAGTGAAACCCTTTCCTTAAATTTCCCATAGTGATAACAGGTAGTAACATATGAATGACTAAAAAAAGACAAATCACAAAAATGATGCACCTTGTAGTTATATTGATTTATACGATCAATCACTAGGCCCATATATATATATATATACATTGGTTCAAGTTACCATTACTTCATTCATATTAGCACAACATGATGTATAGAAAC